ATCATGTCGCTTCTCATCTCCTCACTGTCTGATGAGGTTATGTATCTGGCAGTAGGGAGGAGCACTTCGCGTGAGGTGTGGGAGGCCATAACTGTTGCGTTGGGGTCATCTTCCCGGGCGCGTTGCTTGAATCTGTTGGGCCAGTTCCAATCCTTGCGGCAAGGGAATAGCTCTTCGGCGGAATACCTCGGCAAAGCTCAGCTCATCGTGGAAGCTCTCGCCCTCGCCGGTCGCCCTCTCTCTCTGGACGAACAAAATATGTACGTCTTCAGGGGGTTGAGGCCAGAATTTAGGGCGATGGCGTCGTCTCTCACCATCACCGGAACTCCGGTATCCATCTCCCAGCTTTCGGATTATCTCCAAGCTCAGGAGTTTATTTACTCCGACGATTACCCGGCCACAGAAGGCGGCACTGCAGGTTCTCCGGCAGCCTTCTTCGCAGGTCGTGGACGTCACCAGTCCAGCGACCATGGTGGCAGCAGCAATCGCGGTGGGCAGAACCGCGGCAGGCAGGGTCGTGGACGTGGCGGTGGAGGGCGTGGACGTGGCGGAGCTCCCCGGTGCCAAATATGCCGCTCGCACGGACATACTGCGGTGTATTGTTACAAGCGATACACGACTCCGTCGCCGGCTCCACAAGCCAATTTTGTCGTCGCCGGCGATGATGCTACCGTACCGGCAGTCGGGTCATGGTTCCCGGACACTGGGGCCACCGCCCATGCGACACCGGATTTCGCGATGGTTTCGCAATCTGAAGAGTACACAGGCAGCGATGTTCTAAGAGTCGGGAACGGCGCAGGTTTAACGGTCTCCCGAGTGGGCCATGCATCTATTCCTACTCAGTTTAAATCTCTGTCTATGTCTAATATTTTAGTTGTACCCAAACTGTCAGTTCCTTTATTATCTGTACACCGCTTTGCAACTGAAAATAATGTTTACTTCAAATTTCACAAAAATTGCTTTTTTTTGTGAAGGATTCCGTCACCAAGGCGACACTTCTTAAGGGTCCTGTTGCGGGCGGTCTGTACAAGCTGCCGATGTCACAGTCACATTTTGCGTTCATAAGCTCCCGGGGTGTGGCATCGCAGGTTGGGTCATCCACATAGCCAAGTCCAGAATCGTGTCCTTCAAGTTTGTCCGGTTACCACAAATAAATCTGAGGCGTCGGGGTCGTGTGCAGCTTGCCATCTTGGAAAATCGTCACGTTTTCCATTAGATAGGGTAGCTTTATCTAGTCAAAATGCGTTAGATTTGCTGTACACTGACATTTGGGGCCCCGCCCCCGTTATTTCTTCTTTAGGTTTCCGTTACTTTTTGTTATTCGTTGACGATCATTCCTGATTTTGCTGGTTTTATCCTTTAAAGCAAAAATCGGATATTTATAAAATTTTCGATTCCTTCCGTGTTATGGTAGAACGCCAGTTTTCGCGTTCTATCAAAGCTATTCAATCAGACTTAGGGGGTGAGTACCAAAAGTTACACAAAACCTTCCATTCCCTTGGCATAATACATAGGCAATCGTGTGCGTACACACATGAACAAAACGGTAGGGTGGAACGCCGAAATCGACATATTGTTGAGACCGGGTTATCACTCCTTGTCGAAGCATCCGTCCCTTTACAATATTGGGACTATGCCTTTGAAACGGCTGCGTGTCTTATCAACTATCTCCCCTCATCAGCCATAAATTTTGAAACACCCTACAGTCGGTTACACAAAGTGTTTCCTCCATACACGTTTCTAAGAGTCTTCGGGTGCCGATGCTATCCCTATCTCAGGCCATATAATCGGTACAAGATAGAGTATCGCTCTGCACCCTGTGTCTTCCTAGGTTATCCTCCGTCATTTAGGGGGTATAGGTGCATGGATCTCACAACGGGGAAGGTCTATATCTGTCGTCATGTCCGATTTGACGAATCTTGTTTTCCTTTTTCAGAAATACAGGATCAGACACAAGCGGTTCCTACCCAAGCACCATGGGCCGCCGGGCCTATTATACCACATGGTCTGACAACTGATTCCCCGAGTGTTGTACCTTTGTCATCAAATCCCACTCCTTTGGCACAGGACCCACCGCCTATGGCACTTGAAGTGCCGGCTACGGTCCCGGCCAGACGGAAGCGTACTCGTGTGCAACGCACCACTGACAGGGGCCATGTCATGAGACTACGTCACATGACTCGAGGAACTGACGAGCCCTTTCATGTTTTAAATGTTACTACTGATCCCACATGTTACTCACAGGCAGTTGGTCATCCAAAATGGCGGGATGCCATGGACCAAGAATTTAATGCCTTAATTCATAACAGCACTTGGAAACTCATCCCGGCTACACCGGATATGAACGTCATTGGGTGCAAATGGGTCTTCCGTACCAAACGCACCGCTGACGGATCGATCGAGCGCTACAAAGCTCGACTAGTCGCCAAAGGGTTTAATCAAGTGGCTGGAGAGGATTTCTTCGACACTTTCAGTCCCGTAGTCAAACCGACAACGGTTCGCTTGTTATTTTCTTTAGCCGTATCAAGGGGGTGGACTCTGCGTCAGTTGGACGTGCATAACGCCTTCCTAAACGGGAATTTAGAGGAAACTGTTTACATGAAACAGCCTCCCGGGTATGAAGACCCAACCCACTCTGACTATGTTTGCCACTTGCAGCGCTCCCTGTATGGCCTGAAACAGGCACCCCGAGCTTGGTTCAAAAGGCTGCATGACTACTTGATTTCAGCTGGCTTTTCTCCCTCGAAGACTGATGTCTCGTTGTTTCACTACAAATCCGGGGCCTCCCGGGTATTTCTATTAGTCTACGTGGATGATATAATCATGATGGGTGACGATGCTCCGTTAATAGATGCTTTGCTTCAGGGTCTATCTACTACTTTCAAGATCCGGGATCTTGGTACACCAGGATTCTTTCTGGGCATCGAAACATTAAAACAGGATGACGGTCTTATGCTCTCTCAACGCCGCTACATGAATGATCTCCTGAGTCGAGCAGGAATGTCAGATTGCAAACCGCTTACAACTCCAGCGGCTGTTACACAAGCCGTTTCACCCTCAGATCAACCGTACGAGAATCCCACACAATACAGGCGCTTAGTCGGGGCTTTACAGTATCTCACGATCACACGACCAGATCTTTCCTATGCTGTGAATCGTCTTTGTCAGTTCATGCATGCGCCCACAACAGATCATTGGGTTCTATTGAAGCGGGTTTTACGCTATATCAAAGGCACCTTGAATTATGGGTTACGGTTGTCTCCGTCCACATCCTCCGACATCCATGCTTTCTCTGACTCTGATTGGGCCGGTTGTCCGGTGGACAGAAAGAGCACTAGCGGGTATGCGGTGTTCTTAGGCACTAATCTTATTTCGTGGCTATCCAGGAAACAGCGCACGGTAGCCGGCTCTTCGACTGAAGCCGAGTACAAAGCCCTAGCTGATGTCTCTGCCGAGGTCACATGGATTGTCTCACTACTCCGAGAACTTGGGTTGCACTCCGGGAATCCTGCCACTCTTTGGTGTGACAACTTAGGTGCTACTTATCTTTGTGCGAACCCGGTTTTTCATGCCCGGACGAAGCATGTGGAGATTGATTTTCATTTTGTCAGGGACAAGGTTGCAACATGTGATTTTATCGTTAATTTCGTGTCTACGAAGGATCAGCTTGCAGATATCTTCACCAAACCACTACCGGGGCCGCGGTTCGTGACTCTTCGTGACAAGATCAGTGTGGCTACACACCACCCTTGTGCTTGAGGGGGTGTGTGAATAATGTTATTATTGTTATCTTTTATATTGTTGTTATTTATCTTGTTATTATAGTTTGGCTTAGTCTTCTGTATAAGCCCTACTAGTTAGGAGATATTATAGCTATCTATTTCATATAGCTCTGTAATCCTTATCGATTGAAACTGAATGAAACACTTATTTCTCATCTTTTCCACTTGTAGTCCCACTTCTTTAATCACTCTCATGTCAAACTCCTTATCCTAATATTAAGCCACCCACCCTTGGTCAGAAGTTTTTAAAAATACCGAATCTTGGTCTGTACCCTTCAATTCAGCATCCCTATGAATGTAGGTGACTAGGTGGTGCAAAGGACCCAAATCCAAACTGAACCTAAATCTGGGGTTTGCTCATTATACCTTTTTGTGCACATTTTTTGTTACAGGCTGGATAGGCAGTCCGGGTGTTTTACTTAGTTGCACCTATCAACTTATTGCTATCGGATTTTCTTGTAGTGTTGTGTTAGCTTGAGCGCGCACTTGGGAGGATGGATTGATACATAGCGGAAAGGAGGATTTTTGCTTCAATTTTTAATATGTTGAACTCCTCATCCTCCTCTGTTTAGGAAATCAAATGTTTTTGTTAATTTGAATCCATCCAGCTATTGCATTTGCTTATGTTGGGGTTACCCACATGTGAATTTCTGTAATCATATATGTCCACAGTAAACAGTAGGGAATGGATAATATAATACTGGCTTGCAACTTTGAATAATATCTGTAATCATATATGTCCACAGTAAATTAGACAGCCCTTGTGTGCCCATTCCATGGAATCGCCTTTGCAACGCGTGGCTCTTGTTGATGTTCACAAGACGAAGGGTTGGATTTCAGAGCATAAACTGATGAGGAATTTGTCTTGAAACAGAATCTTCTCAATAATGAATTCATGTATTTTGTCCAAGCACTGTTAGTTTGATTAGAATTGGCATGATTACTGTTATAACACTACTAGTTCTAGGAATGTTACTTGTACTTGTATGAGGAAAGAAACCATTCTCAGTGCTTTATTTCCAAACCATCACATGAACTGATTTCCTTTTTTCTTTCGGACCTTGTATTATTTTAAGTCATATATATTCTTTATTGAATTGTCTGTCTGTGTTTCCAACTTATGATAGTGGTTTAATGCTTTCCTTCTAAGGATGCGAGCAGTGGTCTCAGGAATCTGAGATAGCAGGATGCTTCTTAGTGTTGCAGAGAATTCCAGTCCTGAATGTAACTTAGAGCTGTAGTTTCATGATTTTACATGGGTGAAATTGCTATGCGGATCCGAAAGGGTTATTGAATTACCCTCCTTTTCTCTGGTGAGAACAACAGCGGCCGGGAAGGAGGATTTTTGCTTCAATTTTTTACCTGTTGAATTCCTCCTTTGTTTAGCAAATCAAATGGTTTCGTTATTTTGAATCCATCCAGCTATTGGCTTATGTTGGGGTCAAGTTACCCACATGTGAATTTCTTTAATCATATATGTGGACAGTAAACAGTAGGGAATGAATAATATAATAGTGAAAGTTAAGGGACCAACGTAACATTAGTTAAAAGTTATCACGGTTAAAGAAGGAAGCTAAGGGAGACCAAAAGTTTAAAATTCCTTAAGAGGTTATTAGTATAGATGATAGGTACACCATTTATGGACAAAAACAGCTAAGGGCTGTAACTGCAGTTAACATACAGCTGAATTATTATTATATTATAAATTTTTTTGAAACTAAATGACATGAGAATGTTTATAGAGATGAGAACTTACTTGTACTCTCTATATATAATTCAGCTTACTGAAGCAGTTTGGACTAAACTAATAGTGTGTTTGTGGAAAAGAATTTTGCTGCTAGAAGTGCTCTTTATTATTGTGAGTGTGAGCTAATGATTGAAGCAAGCAGACTAATGATATGCCAGATTCTTACATTTTGTAAGTGCATATTGGGGAAATACATATAATGCTGTAGTGTTCTCTAATTTCTATGGCGGCCTCTTAGGACCCCTCAATAAATTAAATATGGATTGAGCTTAGAAGCGGGTTGGGGGGGCTGGTGGTGCTAATCTTTATTTGCCAGGTTGTTTGTTATCACAGATGAATTTACTAAAATTTCCAATGATGTGATTGAACTTATAATTTTCTTGTTAAATGACAACAGAATTTTATAATATTCTTGTTTTTTCTTTTAAAATATTTATTTTTGTCATTTAATTTGACTGGTTGGTGATGCACTCTGGCCACAAATATGACTCAAGGAACTACTAATTGCAGGGCTCATTCTCCCTCCTACGCACTTCCTGCTGATGATATTTTGAGGGCGGGCTGTCGAGACACTAATGGTGGTAGTGTATGATGAAATAATTTGTTGTGTCCGTACCTGATTTTGCCATTTTGGTGAAGAAGACCCATTTTCAGTTCTTCAGGAAAAAATATAATGGTCATGTCAGCTGCTTATTGGAAAAAATATTGCATGCCAATGGAATCTCCTTTTCAACGCGTGGCTCTATTTGTTGATGTTCACAAGACAAGCAGTTCGATTTCAGAGCATAAACTGATGAAGCATTTCTGTTTTGAAACAGAATCTTCTCATAATGAATTCTTGTATTTTATCCCAGCACTGTTAGTTTGATTAGAATTGGCTTGATTACTGTTATAACACAACTAGTTCTAGGAATGTTACTTGTACTTGTATTAGTTGTATGAGAAAAGAACCACTCTCAATGCTTGGTTTCCAAACCATCACATGAACTGATTTCCTTTTTTCTTTCGGACCTTGTATTATTTTGAAAATCATATTCTTTATTGAATTGTCTGTATCTGTTTCCATCTTATGGTAGTAGTTTAATGCTTTCCTTCTAAGGATGCGAGCAGCAGTCTCAGGAATATTTGAGATTGTCATAGTTTAATTATTAGTTTTAATGGTCTCAAAAGATGTTTTTCTTCTTTGGTCTAACAGACTAAATGTTCTTTTTGATGTCATGTCAATGCTCTTAGTTTCTGCTTTTCCCTCTTTCACCTTCTTTGATTGTTTGATCTCTTTTTCTGTTAGTTGTTTCTTGTACGTTGTGGATATATTATATGCTGTTATTGCAAAGTTACCTGCCTTTCTTGATTTGTTTCTGACTAGCTGATCGAGCTTCTTAGTGTTTCAGAGAATTCCAGTCCTGAATGCAACAAGTAACATGGGTGAAATTGCTATGCGGATCCGAAAGGGTTATTGAATTACCCTTCTTTTCTCTGGTGAGAACACCAAGGGCCGGGAAGGATGATTTTTGCTTCAATTTTTTTACCTGGTGAGAACAACAGGGGCCAGGAAGGAGGATCTTTGCTTCAACTTTTTTACCTGTTGAACTCCTCTTCTGTTTAGCAAATCTAATGGTTTTGTTATTTTGAATCCATCCAGCTATTGCATTGGCTTATGTTGGGGTCAAGTTACCCTCATGTGATTTTCTGTAATCATTTATGTTCACAGTAAACAGTAGGGAATGAATAATATAATGCTGTCTGGCAACTTTGAAAAAGTTAAGGGACCAACGTAACATTCTTTAAAAGTTATCATGGTGAAAGAAGGAAACTAAGGGAGACCAAAGGTTTAAAACTCCCTAAGAGGTAATAGTATAGATGATAGGAACACCATTTATGGACAAAAACAGCTAAGGGTTGTAACTGCAGTTAACATACAGCTGAATTATTATTATATTATAAAAATTTTAGAAACTAAATAACTTGAGAATGCTTAATAGCGTACGTATTTGTTGAAAAGAAATTTGCTGCTAGAGGTGCTCCGAAAACCCTAGACAAGATCATCGTGCACCAAGATGTTGCTCAAAATCTTAAGAAATTGGTACTTGCGTTGGATTCAGTCCTCTGATTTCGGGGTTTTTGTTTTGTTTTGTTTTGTTTTTTTAATAGTTTGTTACTTGTTCTGAAATTTTAAGATTTGCTTTGATTTTTATTCTCCGATTGTTTCTAGGTTACAGAAAAAAGATTGCCCGCATTTGCTGTTTTACGGGCCATCAGGGTCGGGTAAGAAAACCCTAATTATGGCCCTTATCCGGCAGATATTTGGGGCCACTGCCGATAAGGTAATTCGTTCTCACTAATCACCATTTTGTACTTATTTACTGATATTTATTTAAAATTATTTTGTACTATTTCATCTGTTAATTGCTGCTGTAGGTGAAAGCTGAGAACAAAGTGTGGAAAATTGATGTGAGCTTCCCTCTTTTTATGCTTTGATAATTTCGTTTTGTGCATGTGAATATATTGGATACAGAAACAACCTTGTTTAAAAGGTGTTAAAATGTGCTAGCTTTTCTGTCATTAATAATAGATGCTAGTGTATTCTAGTTTGCTACAAGAAACAGTAATCCATTTGGCTGTGATGACTGCAGGTGAAGTGTTTTTTTTGTTTTTTTTGTTTTTTTGGTCATAGCCACTATAACCATCATTTGCTTTGGTAACACATTGATAATACATCTCAGGCTGGAACTAGGACTATTGATGTAGAGCTCACTACATTATCAAGCACTCATCATGTGGAATTGAGTCCTGGTGATGCTGGATTTCAAGACCGATATGTTGTTCAAGAGGTAATAAAAGAAATGGCAAAGAATAGACCAATTGACCCCAAAGGAAAGAAGAGTTTCAAAGGTGATTTCGCAACTATCTTCACTTTATTTATAAAACTTAAAAGCATGGATACATGATACATGGGTACTACATCACAATGGCATTATACATTTTTTTTAGAATGCTACTAACTCTATTACAATGTAGTATCTGGTTTCATTCGGCTCCTTTATGGAAATGAGTAAATTACGAGATCCTCTCATATGGGAGTCCAACCCGGGTGTCATTAGACTACAAGGTCTTGTCGGCATTATACATTATAACAAAGCAAGATGGTTATCTTTTACTTTATTATTAAAGAGTAGATTTCAATATCCCTAGCACAGAAAATGTTGCAACTTATAGCGCTTTGATATGTTAATTATGTACATTTGCCCCATTATCTATTTACTTTAGTGAGAATCTGATTTCATTGTCCATACAAATGAAATTTTAGTAACTTGGTTTTTATTCATAATCTATTTATGTGGAGTTTTTACTATCTATATATCCTAGATGTATTTCCATTCCTTACACAATTGGGAAAGTGTTTGACTGTTGGTTTTATTTTTTGGGTGTCTGACATAGTGACATGCATCAAAATCTGACTTTTTAAACAGTTGTCTAACATGGTCAAAGAAGTTTCAACATGTTTCTGTGAGTTTCTGACATGTCTGAGTTTGGCTCAGCTGAATGTGTGTGTGTGTGTGTGTGTGTGTTTTTTTTTTTTTTTTTCGGGTTGTTGAGAAAGAGGCTTGTTCCTGCAATCTACTCTAAAGCATTTTCATGTTTTTAGTTTTCTGGCCAGATTCTACTTTTGGAGCAGATAAACTCCTAAATAAGATAAGGCCAAAGAATCACTCAACTTAGATCGGTAGTAACATGGGTGAAATTGCTATGCGGATCCGAAAGAGTTATTGAATTACCCTTCTTTTCTCTGGTGTGAACATCAGGTGCCGGGAAGGATGATTTTTGCTTCAATTTTTTTACCTGGTCAGGATGTTTGTTGTCATAGATGAATTTACTAAAATTTCCAATGACGTGATTGAATTTAGAATTTTATAGCTTATTAAATGACAACAGAATTTTATAATGTTTTTTCTTTTAAAATGTTTTTATAATTTAATTTGACTGGTTGGTCATGCACTCCACAAAAAATATGACTCGATTAAGGAACTACTAATTGCAGGGCTCATTCTCCCTCCTACAAACTTCCTGCTGATGGATGATGTTTTGAGGGGCGGGCTGTCGAGACACTAATGGTGGTAGTGATGTGTCACAGTCTCACAGATTGAGTAGCATTATGGCTAACGAACACGCTATTAATTTGGTAGGTATGAAATGATATGTGAAGTGTCAGTATGCATTGGCTTCGTAAGTTTGGTGTTGCATTTGTTTTATACAAGCAGAATTTTAATTCATTGGTCTCTTTGTGAACTGTTTAGCTAGCTCGCACTAGCTACATACTGAAATATAAAAATGGGGGCTGGGAAACAAATATACAAGAGAATGAAACAAGGGGTAACTGGAGTCTGGAAATGGAACCATGCATGATTTTATCATTACTGTCCAAAATTAATGATAGTTTTAACTATTAGGAAGAGAAATTATTGTTGTAACTCCAAATTCAATGTTCCCTCTAAAGTAAACGTTTCTCAGAAAATGTAATAGATCCTAGACTGCATGCATGTATTTTGATTGAGATTTGCTTTTCTAGCTTGATCACAGGGTGGAATATGATCCAAGTGTTAGAAGCCAGTACAATCAAGGCTTGTGATTCATCCACTGACTGCTCCCGTACTCAGCCCGGAAATGACCATAATGAGAGTTTTGCAGCAGCTTTCAAAGTTTGGCATGCAATGTAATATATGTATGTATAAAATGCAATTAAGTTAAAGCAAACTATATATATTCGTTTTTAGGAAATTCGGGTGGTGACTTACACAAAATAACATCAAATAGGTAAAGCATTCAACATTTATTTATTATTTTCTAAAATCCCAAACATCCAAAGCTTATTTGAAGGTAAAGCTTTTTGGGCAGTATCCTCTGATGCCTTTGGTGTTACAGTTGATCATGGCTTTTGCAGCTTGATCAAAGCAGATTCTAACCTCGACGAGGTACTTTGCTGTGCATTGAATTTTGACATCCACATTTAAAGCACGACGGATTGCTTTAAGAATCTGGGTATCATTGTACTGGTGACCGCGAGCAATTCCACCATTTTGTAAAACACGCGCGATATTGTTCCTGTGCAACAGATTCAGTGCTTTAGCGAAGTATTGAGTTTGATTGAAGAGGGTAAAGGAAGCCCTGCCATGGTTATTCCACTCGTGTGCCCAAAAACCATCATCAGGTTTGTTTACTTCAATACTAGGCCAATTTGCAGTGAGTGGATTGAAGAGCGGAGAATTCTTTGGAATCTGCAACATGCATGCGTTATATTATAATGATATTGAAGTAAAATCGTTGAATATAAAATAAAATAAAAATGGTACTTACTGGCTGATATGGTTTTGAATTTTGTTCAGGCCCAAGCGTTGCTCCGGAGTTGACAAATGGCCATAGACCATGGATGGTGAAATCGGATTTCACCTTACTCACTACGCAACGGGTACCAAGGGAAGCACAATAGCCTGGGGGCCATATGAGTGCCAAACCAAAGCCATCCCATTGGTTTTTTTGGTAACTCTTGGTTACAAGTAAAAAGAAAATAAGTAAACTTAAAGTAATTTTCATTGTGTGTATGTCTTCTAATTTGCAGACTGATGAGATGTGCTGTGTGTAATGCTAAGCAAGCTCAAGTATTATGTGTGCGTTTATATAGGCTATAAGCCACTGCCTGTCATTTTCTTAGTTGTTAATTATTTCCTATAAATGAATGAATTTGTTTGTTTTACTCCACTGTAATGTCATTCTACATCAGGTAGCTCTAACTGAATTTGTTTTACTTCATTCTCATTTGACTGCATTTGTTTTTATTCATTGAGATTATTTTGCTTTGCTCTGGTGGATCACAGGGTGGAATGTGAAGTGTTAGAAGCACATGTTATTCATCCATTGACTGATCCTATACTCAGCTCATGATCGGGAATGAAGTGACCATAATGAAAGCTCGGTATGCAATTAATATAATACTCCGTGTTATTATTATTTTGATTCTTGAGCTAAAGGGCTTGTTTTTTTTTTTCTTTGCAACTTGTGAAAATAATTCGTAATGGGTAAGAAATTGAACTGATGCTAATATATATGTAAATTAAATTGATTAAGTTTGTGATTGAATTGGCACAGTTACGTTTTTGGAGCTGACTGACTAGTGACTAGTTAGTATGCAACAAGACTGTACCCCTTGGCTGGCTCTCATAGTACTAACTACTAAATTCAAAGCCCTTAGCTTGCCTTCCGGCCTGCTCCTATTGCTGCATTCAATTGAGACATTAAAATTAGTTTGACAATTGGGATGGGAAACTTTTGCCAAACTTGTCCTCCTGCAAATTGAGGTTGCATGTCAGAAACTTTGCCAAACTTTTCCGTATTTGTACTATTAATTATTGTAGTTTTATTTTAATGTTAATTTTATTTTCACTAGCTGTTAATTTTAATGTTAATTATTGTTATTTTATTTTTAAACAGAGAAAGAATGAGATTCAACGGCAGCATAGTTCTTTTTTTTTTTTTTTTTTTTTTTAATTTTTAAGTTTGCCTATATATATGTTTAGTTTTCATATTTACATATGTTCATTCATATATCTTTATTTAAAAATTATAAATTTATAAATTAAATAAATAAATAATTAATTAAAATATGGAGATAAAATAATGGGTACACAAAAAGTTGTGAAAAACTTAAAACTAATGAGAAGAAGAGTTTTTGTAATTGAATGAGATAGTGGATGATGCGATGGATGTTGGGGTCCACAAAAACGATATTCGGTTCGGTTTTTACTGAACAATTCAGTTAGGTTCGAGTTTTTACTGAACCATTTGGTATACAAGAATCTATTATTGTTCGGTTGTTCGGTATATTACCGAATTTAACTAGTTTGGTACGATACGGTTCAAGAAAACCGAACAGAATTGCCGACCATTAAAGTTAATTACCAAAATGGTCCCTTGACTATAGGAAATTACCAATTTGGTCCCAAGTTAACGGTTGACTAACAGTCAAACAAACAGAGGACCAAATTGGTTAAGATTTTTAAAGTTGAAGGACTTAATTGGTTAAAAAAATAGTCAAGGGCCAAATTGATAATTTCGCTATAGTCAAGGGACCATTTCGATAATTAACTATTATTATTATTATTATTATTATTATTATTATTATAGAAGACTTAAATATTTTCACATGAAAATATACGACATAATTTCACAACACATGAAATATGTATGAAAAAATTATTACTACCAAATATCAATATGCGCTTTGAATTCGGGTCCACAAAATAATTTGCCAGGCAATTTTTAAAAATTAAATACCTTCCCCTGCTTTAATTAAGGGTGTGTTTGGTTGGCATATGAGAATCGGAACTGGAATGAGAATTAAATACTTGGTAATTGTAATGGATTTTGGTTAAAGTTTTTTTTATGTTTGATAATTGGGTGAAATTATAATGATTACTAATATTGCTTTTTGGTTATCTATGATTCTAAAATAGAAATAAATGTTTTTAAAATACAAAAACAAAAAATTAAGACGATTTATTCTAATATAAAGACATCTAAAACACTAATAGGAATAAAAAAATAAAATAAAAAAATCTAAAAAGCTCAAATACTATAGCCTAAAGATCTGCTTAAGAAGTCAATGGGACAGTTCAAGTGATAAAATGAGCACTCGGAAGAATTTCAGAAGAACTTAGGTTAAATTTCAAGACAATTTTTCTTTGAGCCGATTAGTCGTGGTTTATTCCGAGATCAAGCTTAGGCTAGCCCACATTTACGTAGTCCAGGTTACCAGATTGCAATCACCACCGTTTCCTTTTTACCCTAACAAAGCTATTCATTCAATCGAAAGAAAATGGAGAACTGCAAATTTCCAAGGGAGCTCCTGATCGAGATTTTGGCGAGATTACCGGTAAAGTCTCTTATGCGATTTAAGTCTGTGTGTAAATTCTTCTATTTTTTAATAAAAAGTGATAATCATTTCCAACACAAACACTATGAAATTAGTCGGGTGAGTAGAGATTATGTCATTTTCCAGCGTGAGATTGGGCTTAGGGAATATCCGCCCTGGCGTGAGGAAGTATTTGGTTTAGTTTACAAAGAATTGGATTCTGATGAAATTGGATGTGTAAACCTAGCCCTGCCAAGTTCATGTATAGTGAATGTAAAGTGTATTGATGGTATATTATGCCTAATTGCCGGTAGGATTGATGGAACTAGGGATATCTTGATATGGAACCCATCCACCCGGGAAATTAAGGCATTACCACCTATCTCCCCACCTCACAATATTCCTCTAGATCGGTTGAAAGAAGTGATTGGATTTGGGTTTTGTAACAACATGACCGGGAAGGTTGTCATTGTTTGGAGTTCGTTAGAGGGATGTGTATACAAGGTAATGGTTTGCAGCCAGGTTGGTAATTTGTGGGTTTGGAGAGAAATTAATCAATATCCTCACTTCTATCCTTTGTGGTTAAGTCCTGGTTATGATATTTACTTGAAAGGAAAGTATTATTGGTATCTTTATGCATACCCAGGTGATGAGCTAAAGCATTATTTGCTTTGGTTTGACATGAGTGCCGAGACTTTTGGGACAATTAGTTTGCCATTTAATCCACCAGGACAATATGAGGATGGAGGGAATGGTTTTATAAGATGCGTGGTTTCAGTTATGAATGACAGTATTGCTTTGATTGGTTATCAGGAAAAGGAGAATCATTGGGAGGTTTGGCTAATGATTGAAAATGATAGTGATGTTAATTGGTATAAATATGCATGGTTTGACAATGGAGATGATTTTTGGAAGCCAATGCAAATTTGGAATCAGGATCGTCATTTGCTCATATGTCGGATGGGTGCTGAAGAGGATGATCGTGAGCCCCACTTAGTTTCCATTGATTTGGTAACTGGAGAAAAAAAGAAGAGAATCCATAATATTAATACTCATTCAAGTGAGTGCTTTCTAGCTTACAGTGAGAGTCTAAAAATGTTTTAAGAATGAAACACACAATACGTAGTATTTGCAGGCACACTTCTACATTGCAACTATCTATGGATGTAAAGTTTAATAGTAGCTTTTATAGACTCTTATATGTACACCTTGCATGCACTGCATACATAGATGCTGAAATTGATGTTTCGACTTTCATTTTCTCAAATTCGTAGAATTCCATTGATCTAATTAGTGTTAAAATCCATCAAATCTAGAGCAAATTCAAATATTCAATGCATTGCTTGAAACTTCATGACAGTACCTGATTTTGGTGAAGAAGATCCAAATTTTAGTTCTTCAGGGAAAAAAATAATGTTCATGTCAACTGCTTATTGTGTATTAGCAAACAAGTGATCATTTTCTTGAATCTTGTGATCGCAAGAGACAGCCCTTGCATGCCAATGGAATCTCCTTCTCAATGTGTGGCTCTATCCGTTGATGTTCACAAGACAAGCGGTTTGATTTCTGAGCATAAACGGTGCTGATGAAGAATTTTTGTCTTGAAACAGAATCTTTTCATAATGAATCCATGTATTGTGACCCAGCACTGTTAGTTTGATTATAATTGGCATGATTTCTATTATAACAAAACTAGTTCTTGGAATGTTACTTGTACTTGTATGAGAAAAGAAAGCATTCTCCTTTTTTTCTTTCTGACCTTGTATTATTTTTGAAATCATATTCTTTATTGTATGTGCAACTGGCTTTTGCTGCAATTGAATTGTCTGTCTATGTTTCCAGCTTATGCTTGCTAGTGGTTTAATGCTTTCCTTCTAAGGATGCGAGCGGCAATCTCAGGACTATCTGATCGAGATAGATAGTCATAGTGTAATTATGAATTTTAATGGCCTCAAAAAATGTTTGTCTTCTTTGGGCATACTAAATGATTGTTTTGATGTCAATGCTTTTAGTTTCTACTTTGAACTCTTTATCTATTCGTTTCTTGTTGTTGATATGTTATGTGCGGTTATTGCAAAGTTGCCATTCTTTCTTGATTTGTTCTAACTTCTAACTTATCGAGCTTAGTGTTGCAGTCTTGCAGAGGATTTCAGTCCTGAATGCAACTAAGCAGTAGTTTCATCACATTATAGTTGTTTCCATGAATCTTGTCTAAAAGAAGTGCATCGCATTATAGTTGTTTCCATGAATCTTGTCTAAAAGAAGTGCATTTAAGAGTTCGGGTCTTTTCCACTTGTAGTCCCACTTCTTTAATAACTCTCATGTCAAACTCCTTTTTCCTAATATTAAGCCACCCACCCTTGGTCAGAAGTTTTTAAAAATACTGTATCTTGGTCTGTACCCTTCAATTCAGCATCCCTATGAATGTAGGTGACTAGGTGGTGCAAAGGACCCAAACTAAATCTGGGGTTTGCTCATTATACCTTTTTGTGCACATTTTTTGTTACAGGTTGGCTAGGCAGTCCGGGTGTTTTACTTAGTTGCACCTATCAACTTATTGCTATCGGATTTTCTTGTAGTGTTGTGTTAGCTTGAGCGCGCACTTGGGAGGATGGATTAATACATAGCGGAAAGGAGGATTTTTGCTTCAATTTTTAATATGTTGAACTCCTCATCCTCCTCTGTTTAGGAAATCAAATGGTTTTGTTATTTTGAATCCATCCAGCTATTGCATTTGCTTATGTTGGGGTTACCCACATGTGAATTTCTGTAATCATATATGTCCACAGTAAACAGTAGGGGATGAATAATATAATGCTGGCTTGCAACTTTGAATTGCCTTTGCAACGTTGAATAATATCTGCAATCATCTGTAATCATATATGTCCACAGTATAAATCAATTTAAATTTTGAAATATTCAATTTTTTTTTTTCCTACTCATTTTACGGAAAATGAATCAAATACACAAAAACAGTTTTTCATTGTGTAGCCAAACACTGGAAAAGAAAATGTGCTTTTGGAAAATGAGTCATTTTCCGAAAAACATTTTCCAAAAGTCATTTTCTTGCTTTCCAAATGGAGCCTTAGTGTAAGTATTTTGCATGATTGGTAGTATGATTGAATTAGAATGATTACTAATATTCTTTTTTTAGTTATGTATTTATTCGAATATAAAGATATCTAAAGCACCAATATGAATACAAAAAAATATAATCTAAAAGACTCAAACACTATAGCCAGATCAGCCAGCTCCCTTACCTCCCGGAACGAACTGAGATTAGTCTTCGCAAATTATGCTGTGAACATAGAGCTCTAAAATTGTGAACATAGAGCTTCGAAAATTATGAATTTACAGTTATTGAATTATGAATGTACATTTATGGAATTATGAATGTACAGTTATGGAATTATGAACACAGAGCTCTGACATTATGAACTTACAATTATGAACATATAGTGATAATATTATGAACATAGAGCACTAAAATTATGAACATAGAGTTTCGAAAATTATGAATTTACAGTTATTGAATTATGAATGTACAGTTACGGAATTATGAATGTACATTTATGGAAGTATGAATGTACAGTTATGAAATTATGAACACAGAGCTTTGACATTATGAACTTATAATTATGAACATATAGTGATAAAATTATGAACATATGCTCCTATAACGAAGCGGTTTGAAATTTAAAAACAAAAATAAAAAAATAAAAAAATTAGAAGATAACGGTGCCACTAACGACACCATTACCGTATCCATAATGCATGCTGGACACTGGTCCATAGCATAACGATTGTTGGCAAATTATTGTCTGGACCATGGTCCACACAACGTTATGTGGACCATAACAAAAAGTACATTTTTATATTAAATGTACATTAATTTTATACTGAATGTACATTATACAATATAATGTACACTCAGAACAAAAATAATGTACATCCATTGTATACAATATACATTATTTTTATATTGAATGTATATTATTTTTGTACTGAATGTATATTATTTTACAATAGATAAAATATGGTCCACACAACAATGATTGACGATTGTTAGTCTTTGTTTACACCAAGATCACGCTTAGGCCAGCCCACAGTTACGTAATCCAGGTTACCAATTGCAAAGCCAGCCCACTAATCCAGGTTACCAGATTGCAATCACCACCGTTTCCCTTTTACCCTAAACAAAGCTATTCATTCAATCGAAAGAAAATGGAGAATTGCAAATTACCAAGGGAGCTGCTGATCGAGATTTTGGCTAGATTGCCGGTAAAGTCTCTTATGCGATTTAAGTCTGTGTGTAAATTTTTCTATTTTTTAATAAAAAGTGATAATCATTTCCAACACAAGCACTATGAAATTAGTCGGGTGAGTAGAGACTATGTCATTTTCCAGCGTGAGATTGGGCTTAGAGAATTTCCGCCCTGGCGTGAGGAAGTATTTGGTTTAGTTTACAAAGAATTGGATTCTGATGAGATTGGATGCGTAGACCTAGCCCTGCCAAGTTCATGGATAAGGAAGGTAAAGTGTATTGATGGTATATTATGCCTAATTACCCTTAGGACTGATGGAACTATGAATATCTTGCTATGGAACCCATCCACCCGTGAAATTAAGGCGTTACCACCTATCTCCCCACCTCCCAATTTTCCTCTAGATCGGTTGGAAGAAATGATTGGATTTGGGTTTTGTAACAACATGACAGGGAAGGTTGTCATTGTTTGGGGTGCAGATGGATGTGAATACAAGGTAATGGTTTGTAGCCAGGTTGGTAATTTATGGGGTTGGAGAGAAATTAATCCATATCCTCACTTCGATCCTTTGTGGTCAAGGCCTGATTATGATATTTACTTGAAAGGAAAGTATTATTGGTATCTTTATGCATACCCCGGTGATGAGATAAAGCATTATTTGCTTTGGTTTGACATGAGTGCTGAGACTTTTGGGACAATTAGTTTGCCATTTAATCCACCAGGACAATATGGGAATGGAGGGAAAGGTTTTATAAGATGCGTGGTTTCGGTTATGAATGACAATATTGCTGTGATTGGTTATCCGGAAAAGGAGAATCATTGGGAGGTTTGGCTAATGATTGAAAATGATAGTGATGTTAATTGGCATAAATATGCATGGTTTGACAGTGGAGATGATTTTTGGAAGCCAATGCAAATTTGGAATCAGGATCGTCATTTGCTCATATGTCGGATGGGTGCTGAAGAGGATGATCGTGAGCCACACTTAGTTTCCATTGATTTGGTAACTGGAGAAAAAAAGAAGAGAATCGATAATATTAATACCCATTCAAGTGAGTGCTTTCTAGCTTACAGTGAGAGTCTGAAAATGTTTTAAGAATGAAACGCACAATAAGTAGTATTTGCAGGCACACTTCTACATTGCAACTATCTATGGATGTAAAGTTTAATAGTAGCTTTTATAGACTCTTATATGTACACCTTGCATGCACTGCATACATTGATGCTGAAATTGATGTTTCGACTTTCATTTTCTCAAATTCGTAGAATTCCATTGATCTAATTAGTGTTAAAATCCATCAAATCTAGAGCAAATTCAAATATTCAATGCCTTGCTCAAAACTTCATGACAGTACCTGATTTTGGTGAAGAAGATCCAAATTTTAGTTCTTCAGGGAAAAAAATAATGTTCATGTCAACTGCTTATTGTGTATTAGCAAACAAGTGATCATTTTCTTGAATCTTGTGATCGCAAGAGACAGCCCTTGCATGCCAATGGAATCTCCTTCTCAATGCGTGGCTCTATCCGTTGATGTTCACAAGACAAACGGTTTGATTTCAGAGCATAAACTGTGCTGATGAAGAATTTTTTTCTTGAAACAGAATGTTTTTATAATGAATCCATGTATTGTGACCCAGCACTGTTAGTTTGATTATAATTGGCATGATTTCTATTATAACAAAACTAGTTCGGAATGTTACTTGTACTTGTATGAGAAAAGAAAGCATTCTCCTTTTTTTCTTTCTGACCTTGTATTATTTTTGAAATCATATTCTTTATTGTATGTGCAACTGGCTTTTGCTGCAATTGAATTGTCTGTCTATGTTTCCAGCTTATGCTTGCTAGTGGTTTAATGCTTTCCTTCTAAGGATGCGAGCAGCAATCTCAGGACTATGTGATCGAGATAGATAGTCATAGTGTAATTATGAATTTTTATTGGTCTCAAAAAATGTTTGTCTACTTTGGGCATACTAAATGTTTGTTTTGAATTTTGATGTCAATGCTTTTAGTTTCTTCTTTGAACTCTTTATCTATTCGTTTCTTGTTGTTGATATGTTATGTGCGGTTATTGCAAAGTTTCCATTCTTTCTTGATTTGTTCTAACTTATTGAGCTTAGTGTTGCAGTCTTGCAGAGAATTTCAGTCCTGAATGCAACTAAGCAGTAGTTTCATCATTTTACATGGGTGAAATTGCTATGTGGATCCGACCCGATCCGAAAAGAAAGCTTCTTTCATGACCTATTTGCTATGATATCCTGTCATCTGCTAACACAATATAGTTTTTTCCATGAATCTTGTCTAAAAGAAGTGCATCGCATTATAGTTGTTTCAATGAATCTTGTCTAAAAGAAGTGCATTTAAGAGTTCGGGTCTTTTCCACTTGTAGTCCCACTTCTTTAATCACTCTCATGTCAAACTCCTTATCCTAATATTAAGCCACTCACCCTTGGTCAGAAGTTTTTAAAAATACCGAATCTTGGTCTGTACCCTTCAATTCAGCATCCCTATGAATGTAGGTGACTAGGTGGTGCAAAGGACGTACCCAAACTAAATCTGGGGTTTGCTCATTATACCTTTTTGTGCACATCTTTTGTTACAGGTTGGCTAGGCAGTCCGGGTATTTTACTTAGTTGCACCTATCAACTTATTGCTGTCGGATTTTCTTGTAGTGTTGTGTTAGCTTGAGCGCGCACTTGGGAGGATGGATTAATACATAGCGGAAAGGAGGATTTTTGCTTCAATTTTTAATATGTTGAACTCCTCATCCTCCTCTGTTTAGGAAATCAAACGTTTTTGTTATTTTGAATCCATCCAGCTATTGCATTTGCTTATGTTGGGGTTACCCACATGTGAATTTCTGTAATCATATATGTCCACAGTAAACAGTAGGGAATGAATAATATAATGCTGGCTTGCAACTTTGAATAATATCTGCAATCATCTGTAATCATATATGTCCATAGTAAATTAGACAGCCCTTGTGTGCCCATTCCATGGAACCGCCTTTGCAATGCGTGGCTCTATCTGTTGATGTTCACAAGACGAAGGGTTGGATTTCAGAGCATAAACTGATGAGGAATTTGTCTTGAAACAGAATCTTCTCAATAATGAATTCATGTATTTTGTCCCAGCACTGTTAGTTTGATTAGAATTGGCATGATTACTGTTATAACACTACTAGTTCTAGGAATGTTACTTGTACTTGTATGAGAAAAGAAATCATTCTCAGTGCTTGTTTTCCAAACCATCACATGAACTGATTTCCTTTTTTCTTTCGGACCTTGTATTAATTTGGAAATCATATTCTTTATTGAATTGTCTGTCTGTGTTTCCAACTTATGCTACTTTCCTTCTAAGGATGCGAGCAGCAGTCTCAGGAATATCTGAGATTGTGATAGTTTAATTATTAGTTTTAATGGTCTCAAAAGATGTTTTTCTTCTTTGGTCTAACAAACTAAATGTTCTTTTCAATATCATGTCAATGCTCTTAGTTTCTACTTTTCCCTTTTTCACCTTCTTTGATATTTTGATCTCTTTTTCTGTTGTTTCTTGTACGGTGGGGATATGTTATATGCTGTTATTTCAAAGTTGCCCCTTTCTTGATTAGTATAAATGATAGGAACACCATTTATGGACAACAGCTAAGGGTTGTAACTGCAGTTAACATACAGCTGAATTATTATTATACAGTTAACTTAGAATTTTCTAGCTTATTAAATGACAACAGAATTTTATAATGTTCTTGCTTTTTCTTTGAAAATGTTTATATCATTTAATTTGACTGGTTGGTCATGCACTCCACAAAAAATATGACTCTATTAAGGAACTACTAATTGCAGGGCTCATTCTCCCTCCTACAAACTTCCTGCTGATGGATGATGTTTTGAGGGGCGGGCTGTCGAGACACTAATGGTGGTAATGATGTGTCACAGTCTCACAGATTGAGTAGCATTATGGCTAACGAACACGCTATTAATTAGGTAGGTATGAAATGATATGTGAAGTGTCAGTATGCATTGGCTTCGTAAGTTTGGTGTTGCATTTGTTTTATACAAGCAGAATTTTAATTCATTGGTCTCTTTGTGAACTGTTTAGCTAGCTCACACTAGCTTCATACTGAAATATAAAAATGGGGGCTGGGAAAGAAATATACAAGAGAATGAAACAAGGGGTAACTGGAGTCTGGAAATGGAACCATGCATGATTTTATCATTACTGTCGAAAATTAATGATAGTTTTAACTATTAGGAAGAGAAATTATTGTTGTAACTCCAAATTCAATGTTCCTAAAGTAAACGTTTCTCAGAAAATGTAATAGATCCTAGACTGCATGCATGTATTTTGATTGAGATTTGCTTTTCTAGCTTGATCACAGGGTGGAATATGATCTGAGTGTTAGAAGCCAGTACAATCAAGGCTTGTGATTCATCCACTGACTGCTCCTGTACTCAGCCCGGAAATGACCATAATGAGAGTTTTGCACGCAGCTTTCAAAATTTGGTATGCAATATAATATATGTCTGTATAAACTGCAATTAAGTTAAAGCAAACTATATATATTCGTTTTTAGGAAATTCAGGTGGTGACTTACACAAAATAACATCAACTAGTAAACCATTCAACATTTATTTATTATTTTCTAAAATCCAAAACATCCAAAGCTTATTTGAAGGTAAAGCTTTTTGGGCAGTATCCTCTGATGCCTTTGGTGTTACAGTTGATCATGGCTTTTGCAGCTTGATCAAAGCAGATTCTAACCTCGACGAGGTACTTTGCTGTGCATTGAATTTTGACATCCACATTTAAAGCACGACGGATTGCTTTAAGAATCTGGGTATCATTGTACTGGTGACCGCGAGCAATTCCACCATTTTGTAAAACACGCGCGATATTGTTCCTGTGCAACAGATCCAGTGCTTTAGCGAAGTATTGAGTTTGATTGAAGAGGGTAAAGGAAGCCCTGCCATGGTTATTCCACTCGTGTGCCCAAAAACCATCATCAGGTTTGTTTACTTCAATACTAGGCCAATTTGCAGTGAGTGGATTGAAGAGCGGAGAATTCTTTGGAATCTGCAACATGCATGCGTTATATTATAATGATATTGAAGTAAAATCGTTGAATATAAAATAAAATAAAAATGGTACTTACTGGCTGATATGGTTTTGAATTTTGTTCAGGCCCAAGCGTTGCTCCGGAGTTGACAAATGGCCATAGACCATGGATGGTGAAATCGGATTTCACCTTACTCACTACGCAACGGGTACCAAGGGAAGCACAATAGCCTGGGGGCCATATGAGTGCCAAACCAAAGCCATCCCATTGGTTTTTTTGGTAACTCTTGGTTACAAGTAAAAAGAAAATAAGTAAACTTAAAGTAATTTTCATTGTGTGTATGTCTTCTAATTTGCAGACTGATGAGATGTGCTGTGTGTAATGCTAAGCAAGCTCAAGTATTATGTGTGCGTTTATATAGGCTATAAGCCACTGCCTGTCATTTTCTTAGTTGTTAATTATTTCCTATAAATGAATGAATTTGTTTGTTTTACTCCACTGTAATGTCATTCTACATCAGGTAGCTCTAACTGAATTTGTTTTACTTCATTCTCATTTGACTGCATTTGTTTTTATTCATTGAGATTATTTTGCTTTGCTCTGGTGGATCACAGGGTGGAATGTGAAGTGTTAGAAGCACATGTTATTCATCCATTGACTGATCCTATACTCAGCTCATGATCGGGAATGAAGTGACCATAATGAAAGCTCGGTATGCAATTAATATAATACTCCGTGTTATTATTATTTTGATTCTTGAGCTAAAGGGCTTGTTTTTTTTTTTTTTGCAACTTGTGAAAATAATTCGTAATGGGTAAGAAATTGAATTGATGCTAATATATATGTAAATTAAATTGATTAAGTTTGTGATTGAATTGGCACAGTTACGTTTTTGGAGCTGACTGACTAGTGACTAGTTAGTATGCAACAAGACTGTACCCCTTGGCTGGCTCGCATAGTACTAACTACTAAATTCAAAGCCCGGTTAAATTCAAAGCCCTTAGCTTGCCCTCCGGCCTGCTCCTATTACTGCATTCAATTGAGACATTAAAATTAGTTTGACAGTTGGGATGGGAAACTTTTGCCAAACTTGTCCTCCTGCAAATTGAGGTTGCATGTCAGAAACTTTGCCAAACTTTTCCGTATTTGTACTATTAATTATTGTAGTTTAATTTTAATGCTAATTTTATGTTCACTAGCTGTTAAATTTAATTATAGCTAATTTTAATGTTAATTATTGTTATTTTATTTTTAAACAGAGAAAGAATAAGATTCAACGGCAGCATAGTTTATTTTTTAATTTCACCATCTATAGTCCCTAACTTCCGTAATTACCATCCGTGGTCCTCCGAGTTGCGAAAATTGACCTGTTGCTATCCTCCCGTTAGTTCCTGCCGTCTAAGCCGTCAAAAGAAAGGGTAAAAATGTCATTTGTCATATATAATTCTTTTTTATGTATTTTTTGTTATCTCACATAGAGGAGCAGCTAGCTGTCGGCAACGAACTTCTTTCCCGGCGAGCCATTAGAATGGCGGCAACAGAGAAGACCAACAACACCACCATCCTTGTCTCTTCTTCTCTTCTCACCCACCGTCGTCCTTCTCCTTTTCTCTCTCGGCCGGCGAGCAGAAGACGAGAAGCAACGGATCTTGCGACGCTCTCATTTCCTCCGGCGACCTCCGTTCTTCCCAACGAGCAGGGCACGAAGGCAACCCAGCAGATCGATGCCGACACCTTCTGTTTTCGGTGGCTGATCTCTCTTTCTCTCTCTCTTAGTCGACGGGTAAGATGGGTCAGCGGCGAAGCAGCAACGACGAACGACGACCTTTTGTTTCTTTCCGACGAACAGTTGACGCGAGGCGAGCAGATCCAGCGGTGGTTGACGGTGGTCGAGGCTGAGCAGTGGCTTCCGGTGTGGTGGTGGGTGTTTCCAGTGAACCCTCATCTCCAAATTCAACTTATTGATTCAACTTCGATTCTCAATTTCACGAAAAATAGGTTTGCTTGGCATGTCTGTTACTGCTCTTCCTTGTTCCAATTGTCAACCTTTTGCCCCTTCTCTTTGATTTCATCATGGTAAAAGCTTCACACGCATCTTTCTACAGATGGCTTTCAAAATTGATTGTTGGGGTTTTCAAGATCAAGGCTTGGAATTGTTGGGTGGTTGTTTCAATCTGGCCTACTTGTTTTGTGATTTGTTTTTTTCAGGCAAAGGTTTACAGATTATTTGGGAAGGAGTATCAAAAACCTGCAAGGGTTCCTTTAGCTTGTCCGTATAAATCATCGGCCACCAAACCCAATAACTCAGTTAGTAATATACACAATCACATTTATGTATTCGTATGGGATGGGTATGGCCTGGGGATGCTGCAAGTGATTTCCTTGTTGCTATAGCTACACCACAGTATGAGAATGGCGATGGCTTTGGCGTGTTTGATGAGAATGATGATGGGTTCATAGACAAAAACAAGGTGGAGAGGATCCTTTGCAGAATGGGTGAATGGGTTTCTCAAAGCTTTCGCAGGAGGATTGCAGGAAGATGATCATGGCGTATGATGACAACAAAGGTGGGAACATTGATTTTCGTGAGTTCTTGAAGCTAATGGAGCACAGTTTTGGATAGCTTAGTTTGCTCTTGCCTTATCTCATCTCCCCCTTCATGTCCTTTTTCTGCGTAGCTTAGCCGGAGCAACACTAGCTGTGGCAGTACAATGATCAATATGGCAAATGACATTTTTACACCTATTTTTGACGGCTTAGACGGCAGAAACTAACGGAAGGATGGCAGCAAGTCAGTTTTTACAACTCGGAGGACCACGAATGGTAATTACGAAAGTTAGGAACTATAGGTGGTGAAACCACCAAACTCGAGGAACCTTGACTGGTATTTACTTTTTAGTTTTCATATTTACATATGTTCATTCATATATATTTATTTAAAAATTATAAATTATAAATTTATAAATTAAATAAATAAAGAAATAATTAAATATGGATATAAAATGATGGGTACACAAAAAGTTGTGAAAAAACTTAAAATTAATGGGAAGAAGAGTTTTTGTGATTGAGTGAGATAGTAGAAGTTGGGGCCCACAAAAATTTGAAGAAAAATTTCCAACTATTGAGGATTCCCTAAGGGGGAGACTGATAATAAACAAATATTATATATTGCTTAGGGTGGACAGATATTAAAGCTAGCCTAGCTGGTAGATCCGGCGCCATAATGGCTTTCCATCCGTTCAGGTCAAGGCCCTGTTTGGTAAAATGACTGTTAGCTGTTAGCTGATTGTGTTAATTAGATGATATAAATAGTTGATAACATTAGCTGCTTGTAGAAAACTGTTTGGTAAATTAGCTGTTAGTTGATAGCTGTTTGGTATAATTTCTTTTCTCAAAAAGCTAATTGAAAAAGTTGCTTGGAGTAGCTTTTTGAATTTTAGTCTTTTGGAGTTGTAAAAAGCTAATTAACCAAACATTTATATTTGATAGTGTTAATTGCCACGTAATGCGATAATTAAATAAAATGAGACCAATTAAAACAGTTAAATAACTCTTATTGATCACAATGAAGGCCCTAAGTACAATCTACTTGGTTGCTCTGAGTACTGACTGACTGCGGTCGGGATTCTCTAACAACAACCTATCGATCGTCCAAAAGTCCCTCACACTGTTGCTATCGCGGGTATTTATAGCCGCGGAGCCGGAGACACAAATCCGGCCGTCCGGCATACCTCCCACGTAGCAACCACGTGTCACCTTCCCGGGTGCCCTGCCTGTCAATGCGTAGAGTACGTGTTTCTCACCAGCTCTCTCGCTAAAGGGCTACCGTTCGGTGGTCGGCAACGCCAATCGGGCACTACCCGGTCGGGAACCGACAGGGTTCTTCACAAGCAACCCGACCTGCAACTTGCAAAGACAAGAAGGAAAGGACGAAGGCACCGGTCGGGGTAATCAGCATGGCAGTCGGGGTATTCCCTACCAATATTGATATTTTAACTAAATTAAACAATTTATAATGGTCAAATAAGTCAAAATTGGCCTATAAGCTAATTTTTTACCAAACAGGGCCCAAGTGTTCTACTAACTTTGGATTTTGCTCTTTGGAATCTGTCAACCGCGAATGCTATATAATAAAACTTAATCTAATCTTTAGAGCTTATAATAGTTGTAGTTGAAGTAACTTGGTGCAAAAAGTCTCATTTTTTACACAAGAGGGTGAGGGTTCGAAACTCACTCAACTTGGACATTCATTTTTTTTATTGTTTATTTATTTATTTATTTTGTTTCATAACAATTACTTGATTAAATTTTTTGTATAGTTTAATGATTGATTTAACCTTTATTCAAATTAAATAAATACAATCAGTTGAAATGCAATTGAATATAATGTACGCATTTCCAAATGGGAATGTCAAAAAAAAAAAAAAAAAAAAAAAAGACACAATTTTTATTTAAATATGGTCTTGCAAATTCTACTTGTAAGTGGTGGAACTACCTCCTAATACTCCGTAATATTGATTCCGAGCACATTAATTCAACCGAAAATGATACAAATACTCATACAATAATTTCAAACAAATCATGATGCACCGCTCAATAGAATATTTAAATTTTGGGTAACAATGGAATCCCACAACCACTATCTGATGATGCCTATTTGAGGGCGTGGACGGGGTCGGGATGATCTGCAATCCACTCTTGCGTATTACACAGTTCAATCTTAAAAATATGTTTTCTTCCCCATGAACAATAAATGATTAGTTATGAAAACAACATAAAACTAATTTCAGTATAATAACACCTTCTATTTCAAGGTAACACTTGTGTGAGATCGTTTCACAAATCTCAATTCGTGAGACGGATCGGATTTTTTTATTAATGGGTCATATAATAAACTTCATTAATCAAATATCTGACCCGTCTCACGGTTTGAGACCCGTAACACGGTCTCCCACAAGTTTTTACCTCTATTTCACACTCCATAAAATGTTACACACATGAAAATAAGGTCAACATGGGAATTGTCTAAAAATTTAAAATTTTCAACCACTAAAACTACTTGAAGTAGAATGACAATGAAGTAAACATCACATGCATCATAGACCATTTTTTTTTTCAATTTTACGAAAAGAAACAAATCATTTTATAAAAGTACTAATAATAATTTTTTCCTTTACACTTAAATGTTATTTGTTTGAGCCTTTTGAGGTTAAATTCTTGGAAAAAATACATCTCTAATAATTTACATTACATGTATCTAATAACAAATTTAATAGTGAGTTTTTTCTTTGTGATCATCTTGACTTTTGAGTGTCCCTCAAAACTCAAGTGGATGTTTTTTTCTTTTTTTCTTTTTTTTTTTCCTAAAAAACTAAGTTCGAGATGTTATATATTGTTCACATGATTTTGTTTGGACACTAATTACCTCACATAATAAGTCGTGTTTTATTCATCCACAATTATACTTGATTGAAAATAACGTACTATCACCACTATTTCATCTGACACATTTAACATTTTTTTAAATGTTTTAAAAAATAATTAAGATGCTTATTTTTAATTATTTAAAAGAAATGGGAAGTTATTGTAAATATGAAACCTTTGAAACGAAAAATATTATATTTACTCTCAACTTCTACTTTCTTTCACAACTTTTATATGTAGACGCTTTTTTTTAAATTTACATTTATAAAAATATCAAAATTTATTTGGCATGTTATGAAGTAAAAATAAAGGAGTAAATTTGGGAGTGCATTATCTCAACGCTCAAGCCCTTTTCTGCCCCTTTTTCCCGCCACTTCCCTACTCTCTTCATCTCTCTCTCTCCGCCACAGTAGGCGGCCCGAAAACCCTAGACAAGATCATCGTGCACCAAGATGTTGCTCAAAATCTTAAGAAATTGGTATTTGCGTTGGATTCAGTCCTCTGATTTCGTTTTTTTTTTTTTTTTTTCTTCTTCTAATAGTTTGTTGCTTGTTCTGAAATTTTAAGATTTGCTTTGATTTTTATTCTCCGATCGTTGGTGCAGGTGAAAGCTGAGAACAAAGTCTGGAAAATTGATGTGAGTTTCCCTCTCTTTGCTTTTATAATTTCGTTTCCTGCAAGCGAATATATTGGTTCCTGAAACTACCTTGTTTAAATGATGTTAAAATGTGCTAGCTTTTCTGTCATTACTAATAGATCCTAGTATCTTCTAGTTTGCTGCAAGAAACAGTAATCCATTTGGCTGTGATGACTGCAGTTAAATTTTTTTTTTTTTTTTTTTTTTTTTTTTTTTTTTTTTTTTTTTTTTGGGTCATTGCCACTATAACCATCATTTGCTTTGGTAACACATTGATAATATATCTTAGGCTGGAACTAGGACTATTGATGTAGAGCTCACTACATTATCAAGCACTCATCATGTGGAATTGAGTCCTGGTGATGCTGGATTTCAAGACCGATATGTTGTTCAAGAGGTAATAAAAGAAATGGCAAAGAACAGATCCATTGACACCAAAGGAAAGAAGAGTTTCAAAGGTGATTTCACAACTATCTTCACTTTATTTATAAAAATTAAAAGCATGGATGCATGATAAATGGGTACTACATCACAATGTCATTATACATTATAACAAAGCAAGATGGTTATCTTTTACTTTATTATTAAAGAGTGGATTTCAGTATCCCTAGCACAGAAAATGTTGCAACTTATAGTGCTTTGATATGTTGATTATGTACATTTGCCCCATTATCTATTTACTTTACTGAGAATCTGATTTCATTATCCATACAATAGAAATATTAGTAACTTGGTTTTTATTCATAATCTATTGATATGCTATGATTTCCTTACACATTGGCTAAGTGTTGGAATGTTGGTTTTTTGGTGTCTGACTTGTCATGTTCAACATTTAAGCTCTTTGACATCCTCATGTTCCATTCAACTTCTTATATCAATGTGTCTGTATCCATTTGTTCCTAAACTTAGTGCTGAGACCTCAGATTGTTTTTTGCCATTGAAGGTATCCCTTCACAAACAACCAAGCAGTACCTCCAATGGACTGGGAGGAATATGTTGCAGAGTTTGCATCAGACATAATGAAGGAACAGAGCCCTAAAAGGTTGAGTTCTGGTTCATCTTAATGCAAAACATTGAATAAAATATACAACCTTTTGGTTATGATGACTGGAACTTTTTTAAATTACTGTTCTTTCTTTTGAATCCTTAATTTCCAAGTGATGACTATATATTTGATTGAAGTTGGAAAAATACTTTTAACCCTTCTCTTATGATATTACTGTCAAGATGTGCCTTCTGTTTCCTCAAGTTGTGTTTGGTCCTTCATTTATATAGGGGGTCAAATTCCAACTTGGTAGTCTATCTTTCAGTGTTTGATACAACTTTTCTGAATATGAGTTACTTTAAATGGAAAAAACAGTGTTGTATAAGATTAAAGATGTAAAAACTTATAAAAAATTTACTCCATATTAAAGATGCTGATTGCTGAGTTAAAACATAAATGTTCAAGTACAGGAAAAAAAAAATGACTGAAAGAAAATCAGATATTACTACCTAGTTTTTCCTTTTGAAACTTTCATGAAGTCATGTCAGTGTCAACTTGTGTGGAATGCTCTACTTGCTTCATAAATAGAATTCATTTTATACTTTTAAACTTTACTAACTTATCCTGCATCCAGACATCCAGTTACTTTCCTCTTTTCTAATGTTAGGTTCTTTATCACAGGTTGTTTCAGGTTCGAGGAAAGCTCTATGAACTACTTTCTAACTGTATTCCTCCTGGCATTATTTTAAAGGTGATTCTCAACCGTGCCCTTCTGCCTCTTTTCCTTTCCATGTAATGAAAATAGAATGTCAGTTCAATAGAGGATGTGCTTTTGATTTCAGAGGCTTCTTTTTGAGCTCCTGAAGAAAGTGGAATTCTGAGTTGAAGCATGAGGTCTGCCATTGGGCTGCATATTATGTAAGTTACTGTTCCAACCAATGGGATCTGTTGGTCTGTCTTCTGCACCATACTGTTCTATATTTAGATCTGTCTCAATCTGTTGTGCACGGAACAGTACTACTTCTTGGAGTCTAGTAATGGTGCATTCCAATTTCCTCATGTTTGCCTAAATTATAAATTAAAATGATTACTTCCATGAACACTTACTATTGAAGTCCAAGTAGGAGTTCCACAAACCAATTGAGAAAAGTGATCAGGTGACATTCTCCATTCTAATCATTATACACTAGTGGTTTCACCCCCCACCCCCACCCCCCTCTCTCTCTCACACAAACACACACACCCCCCAAAAAAAATCTATGTGAAGTTGGTTTGCTTTTGGCTCTTGTTCATTTGAAATGTTATATCAAGAAGTAATTAAGTTTTCAGTTATTTCTCTCTTGGGGTTGTCTTGATAGTCATATGGCCATCCCTTTTTAAAAATAATAGTTCCAATCTTTCAGGAACACAGGATGCACTTAGGACAGAAGGTGATATTTCTCCTTGAAGGTACATCATCCACATTTCCAATACTTTATACATGTTTTTTTTGTTATACTTGGTTTAAATTGCTTGGATAAAAAGAAGCTTTGAACTGTCCCTTTTCTCCTTTTTATATCTTTCTCTAGCCACATTGTCTTTGACTCGTCTTAAGTATATCTATTCACTGCATATCTTATTACAAGGATGATGGTATTTACTACTGTATTTTAATTGTTACCCAGTGCCCTATCAAATATTTTCTTAGGATTCTTGCTAAGCATTGCCTAGATTTTCCAATTTTGATGCTTTAATTACTTATTCCTGGTTGATCTTGCAGCATTTGTAGCCAAGTTTATGAGCATTTACAAAAATTTCCTTGTCTCAACCTTTGGATGAAGTTGAGAATGCCCGAGGCGTGCAGATCTAAACTGTGAATGTATTTGGTACAATTTTTGCCATCAATGATGCAGATGCCCAAATTTCTGGATTTCTTTCGACTCTTTGTTCTTTAGTTAGTTAAACAATCTGATTGAGTGACAGCAACTAGAAAATTCACTGTCTTCTCCCTTCTGATCTGTGTGTTTATCTATATAGCTTCTTGCAGAGCTTAATGCTCTGAATCAATTATATACACCACAAGAATTCTGGTCTCGGAACAACTGTAAATTGGAGCAAAAACCTTGAAAAAAAGAACCTATTGACTTCACCAAAAGTTGCTTGGCAGACGAGGAGAAGCAGAATGATCCAATGAAACAGGCGTTCGATAATATCTCCAGTTCCTGTGTATTTTCAACTTAACAGCAGGAACCTTGCGAGCAATAGCCTGCCAGACCATTTGGACAGCATCATTCCCCCGTGAAGGGTACCGATACTCGAACAAGGGTTCTACCTCTTTTATCCTACTCCACATTCTAGTCCACTCTTCTTTCCCAATGCCTCTGATCATGTTTAAGAGGAAGTTTTCCTTGAGGGCGTCCGAGGTGCGAACAAATACACAGAAGTCTGAGTAGTCAAGAACATCTTCGTATGGAAGCTCTATTTCGTCACTGATGATGACTGGAACACAGTGGCTGGCAATGGCATCAAACAGGCGGTTTGATGATGGAGTGTCACCTGCAATGTTTAGGCAGAATTTGGAGGTGTGCATCCCTTGGGTTGCCTGCTTTATGCCTTCCTTTTGAATGTTCCCAAATGCAAAGTGCACATCTTTCTCGTTTTTTAGCATGTAGAATAACTCTTGCCTAACAAATCCACCCTGAGGATAAGAGAATAGGATTAGACAACAGTATATGCCGTCTAAGATTTCAAGTTCAAGCCTCGTGAATGAAGTAACAAGTGTTGAATAAGAACGTTAATTTCACCTGAATTCAACAATGGGAATAAAATTTGGGGAACAGAGACGGGAAGATATTTTCCCACCTTGATAATATTAAAACAATTTGGTAGACTATAAACTTAGAGCCCGCCATTTCCTTTTTGTCTTTTTTGCGGGGCAGGATAAACTACTTGCCGGGCTAATCTTGTTTTGACGACTCGGACTAGGAATGAGGAATGGTTCTTCAAAAATGGAATTTGTCAAAGTCCAATATGGCATTATGGGCAAGGGTTATTGGAGGGTAATGCTACCAAACATTAGCCAATGAAGGACTGCAGCAGTAGAATGACTTACAAGAAATGCAGTAAGGTGAATATCAATTATCTAATGAGCAATGCAGTGAGGTGAACATCAACTATACCTTATCATAAACACAATGGTTAATCATGAACCGAAAGCAACAAAACAGAAAACAATTTGCAGCAACTGAAACACAAAGGAATCCCGATAACTCACATCTTTTCTATATATGGCTCCTTGAAAGAACAGCAAAATAGGGCGGCTATCGAACTCAGAAGTGTCATTGACATAGCTCCCAACAATGTGCTTGTAAGGCGCAATCACATCTTTCTCGACATTAGCTATGGAGGGAGGGTACCTCCCGAAATCCGACAGAATAAACATTGCAGGCCACAGTTTGTTCCTGGCATCCAACAGGCTATTAGGATGGTGGGCAAGAATGATATGGTCTTTCCCCATTGACCTCTTCCATTCCTCTTGAGCCGTCAAGAAAGTCACCAGTTTTTCCTGAAGCAACACGTTTGCATCAACCTTCTGGAGCCGTTTCAGCCTGGAGAACCGGTTCATGCAGATCGAGGAAAAGAAAGGAACGAAAACCACATCTGCCTCGCTTGAATTGCGCACCCTCACCGCGCTTCGACCACTCAGATCACCAGCAAGTTCTGAAGCCAGAAGATCCAGTGTGAGCCAGTACTCCACACTGTGCTGCACATTCAACCCTCCAGGATAGGATGGCACCTTGGCTCTTATATCAGGCCAAACACTGTTTCCCTCAGGCTTCCAACCCAATAGCCCAAAGTGAAACTGTGGGGGTAAATCATACATAAACACCTTGAGGGTTTTACTACAACTATGCTTGTCTGCTCCTATTCCTTCCTCAATATTCTCTGTTAGGGTTTGTTCTGCTATAGCTAGAAGTTTGGAGTTGGGGGAAAAACTAAGGTCAACAAGATTAGGCCTGTAAGCAGAATGCAACACAAAAAACCAAGATCCCATGAACAAAATGGATGTGATGATGAACAGACAAAGCAATGACTTTTTACCAAAAATCCCCATTGAATGCACATTCCTCTCTGCCATTCTCAATCCTTAACCAGCAAGAAACAACCTCAAATATCCTCTCTAAAAGCTTCCAATTTCTCCAACCCCCTTTTGCTCATCCTAAAAGCCATGTAATGTAAATCATCAATCTCCTATTTTTGGAGCATTTTAACAAACAAATCATGGGCTTTCAAAAACTGCAAGGCAGACAAATGGAATAAGAACAGGAATGGGCAACAACAATGGAGGAAAAAGGTGTATTGACCTATAATTGTGTAGCAAAAAAAGCCAAGAAAATGAACACCCAGATTAGATACAGCCCAGAACTTTTTATTCAGACCGCATAAAAGAGAGGCGGAGAAGATGGTTACAAGCAAGACTTTGGATGGTTCAGTCTTCTTCAGATTCGTCTTTCTGTCTTTTATATATATGAATTAGTTTATCTTTTCTTTCTTGTGAGCTCTGCGCAGAAAGTGAAAGGAAAACAGAAAAAATGTGAAGAAAATAATGGAATTGTTTAATGCGCGGGGGAATAGGAAGCCTCTAGGAAGAAGCGCGCTCGTAGCTCTGTTCTGGAAAGCTATGGTGGAAGCTAACTTATCATCGGAGACAATAACTACCAACAAACATTTCACTTTCACGTTGTAACTAACAATGTAAGAGACAAGTACAAGTATGTGGCGAAGGATCCTTTTGTCCACAAGGATATTTCAAACGGTTAACAATATTTGATTTACTATAAATACGGTGATTCCTACGAATATGTAGAGTACAAAGGCCGGATCATATAAAGATCATTTCCTAGTCTGAATGTTAGTTTGAATTCTTAAGTTCGGGTTAAGTGACACTCTGGGTCAGAAGGTTCCGAACTAAATATCAGAAGGTGTCGAAAAGCTCTCCTCCAAGCATTTAATGTGGCATATATATAGGAGATGCGAGGAAACACATGTCGGTCTCTCGGCATGTGTGATACACCGATACGTGAAATGCATGCACATGTGAAGGTTGTAAGCTCGGCTGATCCCTCCATGTGCCTCGAGATTCCTGACTTCTTTGGTTCTACTGTTAGTGGGTTCGGCTGAAGGAATATCTAAGTAGTGCAGGTCGGGTGACCGGTCCCATATAGTCGGGCGGGGTAATAAAAGTCAGCATTGCTGCTGACCGAGTCTTTACTCGGTCCTACGAACGGGGTCGGGCCGACACGCTCTGAGGTCGGTCATGTTCGGAGATGGCTCTACTCGATAAAACGATCCGATACCGAGCATATATAGACGGACGATAAGGTCGAGAATAATCCCTATCAATATTAATGCAAATTAATGTTAAATAATTGTAGAACATGAATGAATTAAATGATTAAGTAATTGTACCGAACAAAATTATGCATTTATAAGCTAAGTTCACTGCAACCAACTTTAATTAATGGTATAATAGTGAAAAGATATAGGTAAAAATCAAACCGTAACCAGACAAAATTACCATTTAATAAGAAATTGAAATAATTTGTTTATGAAGTTCAATGCAGCCGTTGAGGTGTCAGACTATCAGTTCAAATGTTGTTGCCTCACAATCTGCCATGCAAATTAAATAATCATTGGCAACCTCAAAATCAGCTCCATGTATGACAACTTCAATTGTAATATATATATATATATATATATATATATATATATATATATATATATATATATATATATTCAAATATGGATAGTGCTTTTCTTGATATCTGTGCGGATTTATTAGCAGATATGTATAAATGCATCACACAGTGTTTGGAAATGCATCAATGCATCACAAAACACACCACTTAATATGCATTTTTGAACACTTTGTAATACATTTATGCGTACTTAAAAGTGACTGCACGAGAAATATTGTCCGTGCGAAAGATGTTTTAGGTGAAAAATTTTAGGATAAAAAGTTTGAATCCTAAATTGATGAACCTCATCACTTTTGTGTTCAAATGTTTCTCAATTGGGCCGATAGGCCTCAAATACAATCATTATTGTGTAGACCATGATCCACACAAATTGTGTGAATTATATTTTGTATATTGTAAAATAATATACATTCAGTACATTATTTGTGTACTGAGTGTACATTGTATTGTATAATGTACACTCAAGACACTAATAATGTACATTTAATATATTAAAATGTACTTTTTGTTATGATTCATATAACATTGTGTGGAATAATTTGCCCCTCAAATAATGACCAAATCCATACATCACTTTTTTGGTCATAGGTAAAATTCAAACCTTACACACTGCGACAACTAACAAAAAACATTTCGATTTATTTTAGATTGATTGACCAGGCTAAACGGAACAGGAATTTAGGTTAATAGCACTTAGAGAATTAGAGAAGGAAACTGAATGCAGATTGCAGAGCATCTAAACTCAGGGAAACATGTTATTGAAAATCACCAGAAAATTCTGTTAATGATAAATGATCCAAACAGTATACAGTGAAATGATCAACAGTTATTCCCTGTAACTAATCAAAGGAAACTATGATGTCTGAATCGAAGAATCTCAGAGTTAATTCGAAACCCTAAAACTGGAATTGCATCTCCGCGCTGTAGCCAATGGCGTCGAGGTGACCAGCCATGGCCTTGTTCATTGGCGGCGGTCCACACCTCAGTATCTGCAGACGAGACACGAGATCAGATCAGCGATACGAACTTCTATCCCGAGAAAGTCTCTCTTTTGCCAAAAGAATAGTGCAATGAATCGATGTTAATCCATGAAGAAAAATACGGAAAGTGAACCATACCCTAACATCGGGCGCTGGTGCAGGGCAATGGGCCTCGATCATTTCCTTGGATACAAAACCAACGCCGCCATTCCACACCTCGGGAGGCTTCATAAGCATTGAACAACCGTTTAGTTTTTCTTTTTTTGTTTTTAAAACAAAATGGTTTTAGTAGAAGCATTGAACAACCCGTTTAGCGTTTTTCAATCATATGTAGAGGTGTTTTTCAAGCCAAACAAGTTTAAATCCCGTAAGACGGGCTAAAAGGAACGTATAAATCCAGGATAAGACAAAGGAGGCGTGAATATAAGAGAACAAAATAAAAACGATATGCCATGCGAGGAATTATACTGACCTGGTTCAGAACGTAGTAAATTTTGAAACTGTCGGGATACTTAGAAGCAAGGCCATCCAACTCTTCCTGAAACCCGACAAATGGATCAAATACACAGAATTTATCGGGCCAACACCATTACATAAAACGCAGCCGAGAGAGACAATGTAACATAAATCACAACAAGACATATGGTCATGCTCAAATAATACTATGAATTTCGAATTACACAATAGAACCAACCGGCACAAAGAAACAGACAAATAGCACAAATACCTTCAAAAGAATATCTTCATATGTAACATTAGCGTAAATCAGGTGAACCTTGGTTGTGTCACTGGGATTTTCGAGAATAGCTCTCGCAACCTAAACAGAAACAAAAAGTAGTAACACGTCAATGATAGAACGTGGTAATTCCCGTTTCTCTACATTGCATACGTCATTGTACACACCTGAAACATAGGGGTAATGCCAGATCCTCCTGCAAGCATACCAAACGCCCTTACTTGACCGGGATGGTACCTAAAACGACCCTGAATCACAAGATTCTGATATAAATATTCCGAAAATTTCCACCCTTTCAAGAATCTTAAATACAAAGGGGGTAAAGCATTACCTTGGGTCCCTTCACAGCCAAGTAATCACCCACACGCATCTCTCTGAAATGATGAGACATCCTTCCTTGTGGATACATCTAGTTATTATTCACGGAAGACAAAATGTGAAACAACCAATTAAAAATTTAAAAAAAAAAACCTGAATGTTACTAACACAATGCCACTACAAGTACGGTTAACGAAATCATCTAAAAGTAAACAAGAATTACCTTTATTACTAGCTCAAAGTACCCAACATCGGAGTCCAAAGTACATGGAGTATAAGGCTTAATAACCTCTTCACCTTGAGCATCTTTTCCCCTGGTTTACAACAAAAAAAGCATTATAATTTCGCAGTGACATAGAAAACCGATTTCTTCAAAGCATCACTTCAAATACGTTTAACGCATCACATTAGCCACCAAACCTGCAACTTATGTGCTGCCCAATGGGAAGGCCCAATACTGAAGTAGGAGTCGGAAGTTCAAATGTAAACTTTGCCACATTATGACTCAGTTCTCGGCGCTTCACAAGCTTGAATTCCTTGAAATTCTCGGGATCCAAGCACACTATTAATCACACATCACCCCACAATTCAGTCAAAATAAGACTACCAAGATGGACAGTTACTATGCATCAACAGCTTATGTCAACCTAACTACCTCCAATTACCAGCAGTCCAGCACAAAATGGACTGCTTATAAGCCCTTAATAGACAATCAAATATCAAAATCAAGAACTCATATTTTGCTTCCTTTTGATTCTTCTAGCCTAAATGAAAGCTTATAACTAATTTTGCAAGTTTTATGAATGGATCAATGAATGATAGACATTAGCCCGAACGGGCAACTCAGTTGGTTCTTGGGCAGTAGATTGTGGGCAAGGACACAGGATCGAGCCCGAGCAGTCACAATGTGAGAATTACACCAAATATGGTAGGCTCCTTGTGGGCACCAGGCACGGGTACTCCCACATAATAAGCCGCTAAGTCACCACTGGCACTCCCTACTAATGGGCCGCTAAGTCACCACTGGTACTCCCATCTAATGGAAGTCACCCCAATTTAATTTACCCACCACTATACTGTTGGGCTAGGGTGTGGGGGCCTGAGGGTGAGGGAATTTCGCCTTTTGTGGGCAATGAATGATAGACATTACTCAATATTTGGCTATAACTAACTAGAAACCATGGTTAAATACTTAAAATCTTAGATCAATCCACCTCTGGGCTTCTTGGAAGAGTACAAGTACGCAGCCGCAGCCACTGCAGCAAGAGCAACCGCGATCCCTATGTAAAGCTGAGCTTCAGGGTTCTCCAGAAGATCCATTCTGTAAAAACCGGATCTTTACACAGAAAAACGGAACAACAAACCAAGAATCATCAATGGGCACTAATGCAAGAACAAAATAGACAAATAATACGCATATCTATAGCTGAATGAACACATACATACAAGCAAGGCGACGGCAATTACTATGATTGATTATCAAAACAAAGAAACAAAGAGAGCGATTGAAATCCTACCCGGCAGTATAGAATGAAGCAAAGAGAAGAGTTGATGCTACGTTTAAAAAGAAACAATGAAGAAATCGATGCGGGAGTTGAGATTAATAGATACGATGTGGTTGGTCAAGACGGTAGGTAAGACAAGGGCAGGGTATAGACTATGCGAGGGATCAGCCGCTCTCAAGTCTCACCTACCCAAACCTCACACTTCACCACTCCACCCAGCAGCGGCCCCTAGTTTTGTTTTCGATTTTTGGCGTTGTACGGCTGCCAACAATTCAATTCTAGTCCATAAAACAACATTAATTTTTTCAAATCAATTAGATTCGGTCCGAAATGTGCTGCAAAAAATTATAGGGCTTTGTTTATCCTATAAATCAAGGTAGCAGGTCAACTTTACATTTAAAATAGTGTTATTTTTTTAATTTTAAATTAAATCGTTACCTACGTCAATTTGTGCATTATATTTAATAACATTAGTCTTGTACGGTCATAATATTTATTATATCTAATTATAAATATAAATTTTAATGCACATAAATATTAAATTACATGTACATTATATATATTTTTGTTCATTATGTAGTAAATTCATAATGTTTCTTCTATATATTCATAAAAAATAAAAATTAATATACATAAAGATTATACTACATGGTTTTAGGATTTGTGGGTAGCCCACGGGGGTCCAACACAATCGGTAGTTGGTGGATTCACCGGAAAAGAATTAGATAGAAAAGATAAACAGTAAAAAAAAATTAGACACAATGATTTTGACATGAAAATCGAAAGGAAAATCACGGGTCTTTTCGGGCGGTGCCAAGCCTAAAGATTTCACTATTTTTGTTGGGGTTCGTACATGTATTTGTATAGGGTATATGATTTGTACATGTGTTTGTGTAAATAATTTTGGTTGTAAATGATGAACTAGAATGGAGCTTTCCTTGTGGTGGAAAATGAAGTCTTCTTCATGTATGGGTGGAAGAACCTTCCGCATGAAAGAGTGAATAATCTATCTTCTAGTATGGAAGAGTGTTTGAGAGGAAAGAATAATGGAGTCCTCCCATGTGGGGAAGAATAGTGTGTCCCCCCTTTGCTCTTTATCCTTTCCTTTTTATAGCTACAGATTATAGACGTTGGGTGGGTTTGATGATGGGGTTTAATGGGTTTTATGAGTAGTAAATAGGGTGATTAATGAGGTAATAAGTTGGAAGTTATAACGGGTCTAATTGGGTAATAAATTGGTGGTTTTAGTAGGTAACAATGGGTAGCTTAATAGGATATTAAAGGGGTTTATGATGGGATTAATTTGGGTGGTTATAGAGGGGTTTAAGTGGTCTAATCGGGACTAGGCGGTTCAACCGGATTCAAATATTGGGTACCTATCAATATGTAATGAAAATATGCAACTGGTTGTTAACCATGCTACCTTGAAATAACGTTACATTGTTTGTTTTTTTATAATGTTTTACGTTATAAGGTAAGTTTTAGTCTACAATAAAACAATTGCTACCGTGCTCTATTACTTTCAAAAGTAGATATAGTGTCACATCATTCTATTTGTAATTCAATGATATTTTTTTTTATAGCTCTACAATTTCAATTCACTCTTAAAGTATAATAATATACAGAGTAACATAATATTATTTATTTAAAATTATTAAAATAAACAAAGTCAACAAAAGCCTGCCAAATCTGTTTTGAAAGCCTCCTTAAGAGCATTCACACTTGTTTAATTTTTTTTTGTTGTTTTTAATGTGATAACTAGGTCAAGAAGAGGGAAAGAAAAAAGAAGAGAAAAAGAAAAGGAAAAAAAAATCTGATTACTAAAAAAAAAAAGGAAGTGTGCATGGCGCCTGACGCGTGAATCTAGCGTGGAAAATGGCAATGAATCTAAAAACTCATTTACACATCTCTAAAAAAAAAAAAAATAAGTTAATACCCAAAATCGTCCTTGACTATAGTGATTTTTCTCAATTTCATCCTAAACGATTTTGGTGACCTAATATCGTCCCAGACTTTTGTGTTTCGCTCAATTTAGTCCTCCATTTGTTATTCCGTCAAATTGGTGTTAAATAAAGGGACAATTCAGTAATGTCAATATTGATCTCTCTTTACTTTCAACTTGTGAAGTGCGAAATTCCTCTTTCTTGTATGAATTACACCCAGAATTACTCCCGGACCTGCAAATCAAATTTTATATTCGCAGTTTTAGGAGTAATTCTTGGAGTAATTAGTAAAAAAAAAAAAGATTTCGCAGTTCACATGTCTATGAGTAAAGAGATGCCAATATTAAAATTACGGAATTGTCTATTTATTTAACACCAAATGGACAGAATAACAAATGAAGGACTAAATTGAGCAAAAACACAAAAGTCTGGGACTAAATTGAGCGAAACACAAAAGTCTGGGACGATATTAGGTCACCAAAGTCGTTTAGGACAAAATTGAGAAAAACCACTATAGTCGAGGACGATTTTGGGTATTAACTCAAAAAAAAAAATCGTTCTAAAAAATTAAGTAAAATTCACAAATGTGAATGCTCTAAGGTTATTTATAGTGCTGTAATTGCATTCACATGTAGAACTTGATTTTTTAATAAACAAAATTACCTTCTTTTTTTTTTTTTTTTTTTTTGCAATTCTGTACTAATAATAATAATTAGATTTTTTTGAAAGGAATAATTAGATAGTTATTGTTAAAAGAAAATAATTTTTTAGTTTATGTGAAAGTGGGACCATTTTTATAAGAGGATGAAAAATTGCATAGATGAAAAATGAACAGTGAATAATTACAAATTTAGTAATATGATATTTTGAAAGTGACAAAAGATTGTATGAGTAAAAATGTCCCAAGGTTATTTTGCACACTTGGAGGTGAAAGAATCTTATTTGGAATAATAAAGGTATCTAACGTTAATATTATTCGATATGTTGTATATTTCTTCCCAAATGATGTGAACTTTAGAATACCTAAGGTGACCTTTGGAATTCAATTGCTCCCGAACAAAGCTTAATTATCTAAGTAACTTATAAGTTCATAAACTTTTTTTTTTTTTTTTTTTGAAAACCAAAGGAACCATACTTCATTAAATTAAATGTTCAATACATTGAGGAATAGAATGAAAATAACTAAGGGGACCAGAGTAAGAACGAGCAGCCCTAACCAAAGTATGAGCAACTGTGTTCACTGATCTAGAAATGAACTGAAGAGACATTGATTCAAAGTCTCGTTGAATCTCCCGGCACTCTTTGAGAATACAACCTGTATATGTATAGTCCGGCAAAGAACCCTTGAAAAGATTGCAGACCGTCTGACAATCAGAAAACATCTTCACCTTCATAAAATTCAACTCCTTAGCCCACGACAAAGCTTCCTTGACTGCCATTGCTTCCGCCATATGAGCTTCATCTAAACAATTTAAAGGACCATGGCGAGCTGCAACGTACGCACCACTTGCATCTTTAATAAAAAATGCCAAAGCTAACTTCATGGGTAACGACATAAACTTTATTTTACTAATTGTCGAAAGATGTTAGGGGACACTGTTAAGATCGCAGATCGCTAGGCTATGGTTGGCTAACGACATGACTCGGTGCGTCACCCCTAGCCTTGCCCAGCAACCCTCCTCCCCCGGGCTGATGTGGCTAACCCACACCCCGCCTCAATCTCACTCCTAGTCATGACATCACCTCTAGAGGTGTCAAAACGGGCCAGCCCGGCCCATATGGACTGGCCCGTCACGGACTGCTGAGAAACGGGCCAAACCCGACCCAGCCCGTTTTCCAATACAGGTTGGGAATCATGGCCCAACCCGTACACAACGGGCTGGCGGGCTAAACGGGCCAACCCGCCAGCCCGTTTATTTTTATATATTATTATTTTATTAATGTTGTAAAATTTGTGTATAAGACAAGAGTTGAACCTTAGACCTCTCATATAATAATTAAGCTTTATTCCAATTGAACAACATGTACTTTTGAAGTAAATTGCATGTATAAACGTAAATAAGTATATATATGAACAATGCACACACATAAATTATAATCAAGTTGTGATATATAGTACACATAATCACATATACACACATTAACTTATAAAGTTTATAAAATATATACAATAAATAAATTTTATGTAACTATATAATTATATTAATATTTACATAAAGTTATAATTAATCATATAAATAAGCTTGTAAACATAATATGATTAATTTAAATAAATAAATAAATAAATAAATAAATAAATATATATATATATATATATATATAATTAAATTTATAATTATTTATCCGTTATGTTATATATAATTTATATCATGATAGTTTATTAAATGTTAATCAATAAATCAATTACATGATCATGATTCATAAATTATATAAATATATAATTATAAAACATACCGTATGGATTATGAAAACATATAATGTTTGAAAGTAATTTATATGCATATATAATCATACAACATATGAGCAATGAGTGGTATTAGACTAGTTGGTTATTAGTAAATAATAAAGTACGTATAAGAATAGGAGGTCATGGGTTTAAGTCTTGTTGCAAACAAGTATTTAAAACTTAAATCAATTAAATTAAAAATATATTTAAATATATAAAAATAAAATAATGTAGGTTAAACGGGCCAACCCGTGTAACTCATGGGTTGGCCCGTATAACTGTCGGGTTATACGGGTCGGGCCTAATTCGGGACGGGCCAAAAAGTGTGTGGCCCAACCCACCTAAAAAGTGGGTTAAACGTCGGGTTGGGCCCGTTTTGACAGCTCTAATCACCTCCCTCCACCAGCCCATTGAGTGACTTATAGTCCACTAGCTTATCAAAAGCCCTGAAAATTTTATTGAGATTACAACAATCAATGCATTTACAAAGAATTTCTTCTGAATTGGAGGGTGGGGAAATATTTCAAAAAGAATTTGGAAAAAAAAGAAAAGTTTTAAATCATGCCACATTATCTGAAGTAGTAATGGATGCCCAAAATTGCTCTAAATCTCTAGTGAATTCCTCTTCTCTGCCTACAACTACAGAACTGTGATCCGCATTGGCTATAACTTTCACTTCTGCATTATCTCCAACTTTCATCTTCATGTTACTGCTACATTCCAATGGAACTACTTGGTCCTTTGACCCTTGAATCACTTTCATTTTCACCCCACAAATTCTCAGTGTTTCCAAGTACTCATCCATCACCTTTGCTCCACCACAGATCACATTGTGCATGCTGTGCCAGGCAGAATGGTGAGTGTGTCGCGTCATATCAGCCACCAAGAAATGCAGATCCCTGAAGTTTGAAACGAGCAATGGATCTAAGTTAGAAGATTGATCTAACCAGAGTAAACTCTGCAGTTAAGACTGGCAGGTGCCGAGAGAAATTCTTAGGCGGAGACCTAAAGGCTAAGTCCACCACCAGATATAAAGAAAAAGAAGAATGATCTCACCTTCTGGTGATTAGTTTGAGAATCCTTTCCCAGGCTCTGTGGTTTCTGCAGAAAAGGAAACACACACATCTGCCCAGATGCTCATACCATGACATGAAGGCCGAGCCAAACAACAACGGTGGCCATACTCGTCTCGCTGCAAGCTTCTCTAGGGCTGTCACACTAGCATTATCCTCTCCAGAACACGGGAAATAAGGCTGATCGATAATGCAAAAAAAAGACTGTTACGTAAGTATAAGGAAATAAAGTTGCACCATTACTACTAGCCATAGTTTTTAGCATGTGCTGACTCTGATACCAAATTGAAGGACATGTGCTCCACATCAACTAAAAACCTAAGCTAATAGTTGGATTGCACATTAATTGCTATATGTTCAACAGCATAATGGTAAGCGTTTGATCCTAACGAATGCATTTCTGTGTGCTTACGGGTGCTATCAAGGTGATCGATTTGACAGACTTTGAGTAGTTTGCTGCTAATGCCACTGCCACCACACATCCCATGGAGTGAGCAACCAGGTGAAAAGATTTGAGCTGAAATGGGATTATCACTGTTCTTTCAATCATTTCTATATGGTCTCTTATGGTGTATAAACAATCCATTGGTTTTGGGCTTTTCCCAAATCCCAGTAAGTCTACTGCAAACAATCTATACTTTTGCCTTGAATCTTCAGATAGATTGGGAAAAACAGTTTGAGTCCAAAACGAGGAAGAAGCTATAAAACCATGTAAGAATATTACGTTTTCTGCTCCCTCCTTGCCATCTATATCTCCTTTAGATGGTTCTCTGACAACAAAATGAAGCCTTAAATCATTGCCCTTCTTCATCCAAGAAACACAAGACTCACACCCACAGTCAGACCACCTGTTCTTCCCTCTTCCACCGCCACCCCTTGCATTCTTGATTCCGGCGGCGAAATGATGAGTAAAACCAAAAGCACCCAGAATTCCCCGCCGGAAAACATTTTTCCTCCGGCGAAGGGTCTCCGAAAGCTCGTCGCTTTTCTCTCCAGCCGGCGGCGATGATGAGCAGTAGCATGAGGTCGTTCCTTCCAAGAAGGCGTCCATGAAGCGGTACAGCACGCAGAGAAGAGCGTCGAGGAAATCGAGAACCAAGAAAACGATGAAGCTAAGTAGAGTGATGATGAAATCTGCAGCTCTTGTTACACCGCGTTTTGCCATGAAAGTTGCAGAGAATTTCGGCATTCGATTCTGGTTTGGCAGAGAGAGAAGCGAAGATGGTAAAGGAGGGAATTTTGGTTGAATTGTGCGGATTAACAAAGCGATACGTGTTTGCTGGAGCACCTTCAAGTTGAAGATTCTGTAGGGATAACAGATGAGAAATGCATACATTTCTGTTCCGAATTGAACATCAATATGTATTTTTCTTTAGAAACTTAAATTGATTTTTATTTTCCAATTGACTTTTAATACTCCAATAATTCATACTCCATTTTTTTTTAAAATGAAAAGGGAATATTACTATTTGAGAGTATATATTGAGTAAACGCAAATGATCAGTTATAACTGGTAAATTTTACTATGAACAACAGATAAATGTTCATTTTTAGTATATAGAATGTTCATTTTTTATATAGTAAAAATTCATCTTAAATATATATATAAAGTACTACTTAAAAATGAACCTTCATTCATTCAGTACATTAAAAATAAATTTCAAAAAAACAAACATTAAATGTATTAAAAATAAACTTTTCACAACGCAAGTTTCACCTAAAACGTATCATCATGTAACGACTACAAGCTTTCATATAAATCAAAATATATTATAGAGACATTTTACAATTGGTATATAAAATAGAGCAAAACAAACAAACTTAAATCTTTAGGCAATAATCCTTTAATAAAATCAATACATCAAACTAAACTATCATTTTACACCATATATATTTACATTTTCCATCATTTGCAATGAACCTCACCGGCAGCAGATACACCCCATCCCCCGGCGGAGCCCTCCACTGTAAACTACAATAACATATATATATTACAACCTTTCTTACAACAAAAGCGACGAGCTCCTCCCATGGCCGGAAGCCATTGTTCTCGCTAGTTTGGCGCTCACAAGTGAAAACGCCTATTTTCACTTGGCCAACGGGGACGAGGAACTACGCTAAGGTGTGTGCTGAGCTCTGATATATCTCGTCAACATGAGCTGCAGGTACATAAACTGCGTGCTGCAGTGTGCTGTGGTTTCGGCCATAGAAAACATACACGATTACGCCTATTAACAACCATATGGATACGCGGGCCCAAGTCGCGGCGCTGCAAATGAAAGTAAGAGGCCAACGTTAGCAAAAACATTTGGATCGCTAGAAGATCGAGCCCATGGAACTTCCATTTGGCGGCCCAGGCGGGACAGGCTAAGCCGGTTTTGACGGCTCTAGATGGAAGTAGCTTAGAAATTGGCATAGCCTACTCACCCGAGATTTATCAACAAGTACACGTTGATGAGAATGGAGGCGATTGGCAGAAGGGGAACAAACGGACAAACAAAACCTGGAGAAAGAACATTGATTCATTTTGCAGATCGAGAAAGTGACTATAATTTCGGAGAAAAAACATTGATTCGATCAGGAACTACAAGCAGAAGTAGAGGAGAACTAAGAAATCACGTACCTCCAGAATGTCCAAAGCTGTGCCTGGCAACGTCTTGGTCTATGGTTGTAAGCACGACCAGACCCGAGAGCACTAGGAAACCACCGATTCCAGAAAGCGTGAACCTCACCGAACTGATCATAAATTTAATAATCAAGAAATATGCCACGAGTTAGACTGTAGAAGTACGAAAAATTCGTATAGAAAAGAGAAAGCACACAGAAGAATAGATAGGAACGGTATATGGGGGAGGGCAAATGTGGAAACGCACTTTGGCAGGCCAACAGTCGAAGCGGCGGAAGTAAGTACAAGCACCCCGAGACACGTAAACATTATGGTCCATCCAGCAATTTTCCGCCTTTCATTTACTAAAACTGCAACAACTCCAGCAAAGTAAATATCTCATAACGAGTCCAAAATTGAAGTACGAATCATAGAAATGTCAACCACCGAGAATCTAAGAACTTACGGCTAATTTGCGCAGCTGCTTTCTCTAGAAGAGGATGCCCAAAAGGCGCCTTTGATAGCAGCGGAAGGCCCTCGTTAATAGTAGCTGTTTTGGTACTCTCCTCATCGTTATCCGCACCATTAGTACCGCTACTATAGTGCAAGCATACCGAATCTATTGCCTCCCGGAAAGATGACGGAAGGGGAACCTCATCTGGTGGAACATACCGGAGAACGAGGACTGAAATTGAAACCATTGTGAACGCAAGAAGCGTACCGACACTTACCTGCAAATCGAATTTAGTAAGTCTAAGATCTAGAACGGGAGAATATATCAATGAATTTTGTGGTGATCTTAACGGTATACTTACCATTCCCGACAACTGGTCAACATCCATGACGAATGCCAAGGTACCAGAAAATAAACCGGTCACTACGGTGCTCTTGATAGGAACTTGAGTACGTTTGTTAACATCGCAAAAGAACGACGGCAGCAACCCATCCCGAGCCATTGCCATAAGAATTCGTGGCTGAGAAACACGGAAAACAAAAACTGTTTATCTGTTGTCGCCTGTCAGACTGCAACGATAGAGGCTATATTTGCAAGAAAAGTTCAAATTTTCAAGCATATGAAAGTATAAACTCAATATGTTTAATTTAAGGGAAAATCGCACTTTTCGTCCCTAAGTTACAGGGTAACTGTAGGATTCGTTCCTACCTGCTGATCGTGCTCACTTCTCGTCCCTAAACTGTAACAGATATTGCAAATTTCGTCCTTTTTCTAACAAAACATTAGGGACGAAATTCACAACGTCAGTTATAGCTTAAGGACAAGAAGTTGAGAAGTGAGCACAACCAACAAGTAGGAACGAATCTTACAATTACCTTATAACTTAGGGACAAAAAGTGCAATTTTCCCTTAATACCCAAGAACGCCAATTATAGGTGCATCTCGAATACCTGAGGTAAGAGAGAACCCATCAATGTAGAGCAAAGAGCAGTACAGGCTCCAACAGTTACAACATAGCTGCCAGAGAAACATCAAACGTCACATATGAAAAGCGGGGCTTAAAAAAAAAAAAAAAAAAAAAAAAAAACGAGGCTTAGAAGAAACAAAACACAGGCAAAAAACGCTTTTACTTACGCTGCCCACTTGATTCCATGGCTTGCAAAAGCAGAGGAGATTGGCGTATCGGGGTCCATAGCATAGTACGGGACCAGACCGACAATAACAGCCGAGACTAACATATACAATGTGCAACATATCGACAACGCGAAACCAATCCCCATTGGCAAGTCACGTTGAGGATTCTTCACCTGTGACAAAACGGATATTAGTAACAAAAATAACGAGAACTTAAATATTAATGACCGAAGATATAGCGAAATACCTCCTCGGCTGTGCTAGCAACCGAGTCGAAGCCAATGTATGCAAAGAAGACAGTCGAAGCCCCGGCAAGCATTCCATCAACCCCAAACGGGAAATACCTGCCAATCAAATAAACGCTAAGGAAACTACTCTAGAAATCAAAGTATAAAACAATAATACGGGAAGGGACTGCATTTACCCGACAGGAAGCTCATAGCCGGGCCAGCCAGATTTAAATCCCAGATATCCACCGGCAACAATAATAAAAATCATGGCACATATATTAGCCGTCGTGACAAATCCTTGTACCATTGTACTCTGCACGTATTAAATTGTTAAATCAACCAAATTAAGAACACAAAGTGCCAATCGAGAAATACTTGTGTATGTATGTATGGATGAGTTGATTCGGACGAAAACTAGATCGGGACAAATGATTAGTCGAGTTATTCGCTAAATGAATACCTCCTTGATTCCCACACACAAAAGCCCCGTTACAATACAAACTAATAATGCTGCACATGGATCCACTACAATGTTAAGCCCGGGGATGGTGTGACGAGCTAAAAAGACCGGGAGACTGTCTTGTCCTCCAAAGAGCAAGGCCTACCAAAAGAAGAAAAAAGAAAATTAAACAAAAGCAATACTACTAGAAATAATATATGAAATATGAATGTTATAAACTAAAATTGGGCTGCATTCAAAAAAAAAAAAAAAAACTAAAATTGGGCTAGGGTTACTCAACTAGGCTATAATGCACATAGGCCAAACTACACTAAAAAGATTGAATCCAACCAATTAGCTAGTCTAACTCATGGAGTCCTGGCCTTATAAACCCATATGTTTTCTCTTATTTTTATCAATGTGGGACTCTTAACATTGAATAACATGATCATTTACATGAGAAGAACGACTAAAGTATTGCTTTTGTTTAAAGAAATCTACTAAAGAAAAGCTTTGTAACCGCTAAAGAGTATTCACATCACCAGGTTTGGAGATATGCCCCGTGCCACTGCAGAACCTCCAATTGTGTATTCCAATATCAGCCCCCACCCAATTAACCAAGCAACTCTGAGAGGAAATCGATAGATTGTTTTAAAAAGAGAATGCAAATATTGAAACCTTCATGTTATCTTAATAATAATAAAATGTTACTTCAAAAGAAGCAAACTTGGAGGCAGTTATAAGATTATTTGAGCAAATATGGAACCGATCTTCGAACAAAAAGGTCATTTTCTTGAGGGAGTCTATGGCGTTTACCCTTCTCCGACGCATATGTAAGAATAATGATATGCACTCCCAGCCGAGGGACAACGACTGGAAAGCTCGGCATAGCAGAGGGCGGAAAGAGCAGCTGCTATCCCCGCTATTAAAAATGAAAAGGCGAGGGCTGGGCCAGAATGCTCTCTCGCAACTGTCCCAACTAGAATATAAACCCCTGCACCTATAGTTGAACCAACACCTAAACAATAACCACAAGCCAATTAAGCATTAATCGCAGATATCACAATCACTCGTCGTAGTAATCTTTACAGGTTAAGAACACGCATTTTAACTGATGAAGTGCAGAATTAACTCTTCCTGGATCTATATAAGACATTTTTATAATAATAATATTAACTGCCTAAGCATTTAAAAGACTATCACTTTCTCATCATAATTAAGCATTTAAAAGACAATTGGCCTTGTTTGGTAAAATATTTAGCTTATCAGCCAATTTTGGCTTATTTGACCACTATTAGCTGTATGACGTAGTTAAAAAATCAATATAAGTGTTTGGTTAATTAGTTTTTTGTAACTCCAAAATGCTAAAATTCAAAAAGCTACTCAAAACAACCTTTGTTAATTAGGTTTTTGAGGAAAGAAATTATACCAAATAACTATCAGCTACTAATTTACTAATTTATCAAACACCTTTCTACAATCAGCTAATATTATCAACTAGTCATACCCTCTAACAGCTAACGGCCATTTACCTAACAGGGAAAGACTCTTTCTCATCATAATTAAGAAACCTTAAGAAGCTTCATCACAGACCTGAACCCATCCTCTACAACAAACAGAAAGAATTTACACACACACAGGGAGAAGGATAGTGGAGCCAATCAAGATTTAAAAAAATAATTAGATACAGATAAAAACACAGAAAAGATGAAATTTTGGTTGGATGGGGAAAATCAACATCAAAATCCTTGGAATTGGAGAGAAAAAAAAAAAAAAAAAAAAAAGAGAAATAAGAAAGTACTGGAAAATCAATTTTGTTTTTCTCTGTGTTTAATTACCTATGGCAATGAGATGAGGGACAGTCAAGGCTTTGGCCAACTGGTGATCTCCACCATGCCCAGAAGCAGAGGATGAAGACTTTGAATGGGCAGAATCAACCTTCTTCCTCCTCACAAGGCATCTCAACCCACCAGAAAATCCACCCCCATCGCCACTCCTTTCCCAATCAGACACAACCCCCATAACAAATCTTCAATTCCCAACTTTCCCTATTCACAAAATTTGATCTTTTTTCTAATTTCCCACTCTACTTTTTACAATTTATGTATATGAAACTGTGAAAGTATGTACAAAGTGGGTGCTTTATATCAAATCAATTATTCACAAATCACAAGGCTGTATAGTGTATAGTACAAAATCTACAGGAGAAAGTGAGGGAAGATGGGGGAAGTGAGGTTGAGGTGCCCCTGACAGCAACCCGGGAAGGAGACGGCTGCTGAACAGGCAGAGATCAACTGCCAAAGATCAAAGATCACGTTTTCAGATACACGATCCTCATTCCTCGATCTCGACTCTTGCTTAATATAGTAATCTTTTTGTTTTGGAAAAAAAGTCAAATAGCAATCAAATTTTAGCTTAAAAGTCAATTAGGCTCTTAAACTTTTAAAAGTGTCATTATACTCATCAACAATTTATTTAGGTGCATTGAAGTTCAAAATCAGGTTAACGACCTGCTATCACAGGTCATTAGAGTTCATGCCACCTTTTGACGAAATTTTCGGCAGAAAAAAAGTGATCGACGACCGACTGACGAAATTTTTGGCAAAAAAAAACGTGACCAACGACCAACAAACGATCGCCAGTCACGGAGAATGTCATTTTTTTTTTTTTTGTCAAAAAATTCGTCGAAAGGTGGGTTGAACCCTAATGAATGATAGCAGGTCATTAACCTGATTTTGGGCTTCATTGCACCTAAATGAATTGTTGATGGGTGTAATGGCATCACCTAAATAAATTGTTGATGGGTGTAATGACATCCTTAAAAACTTTAGGGACCTAATTGACTTTTAAGCTAAAATTTTAAGAGTCTATTTGACCCTTTTCCTTTTTGTTGTTGTTAATCCTAAATAATTAATATTTTTGTATTATATTATATTTTGTCATTATTTATACTTAATTTGTTCTCTGTGCTTATTGGCTTGTTTTTTAATTAAAAAATAATAAATAATAAATAAACCCAGATAGCAAATTATTTTGTGGACTTGTGGGTCCACCTTACAAGGTGGACACGTCGAGTTTAAGATACACAATTTTACAATTTATATACTAAATGTTTATAATTTTGTAAAAGATAAATTGTAAACATTTTTTTTTAATTGTGAACATTAAATATGTAAATTGTGTATTTGGATCCACCTTACAAGGTGGACCCGGATCCATGGTATAACTATTGAACCATGATTAAATAGTGCAATTGAGCAAAAAATAAAAATAATCTCTATTCAGGTCATCTAGATTGATCAAAAGTACAATTGAGTTCTAAAGTTATACTAGTATAGTACCTATGCGATGCACGAGAAGGATATTATTCAATATATTGTCTAAACTCTAATTGTGTGAAAATTTTAAAAGATTACTATATTAAAATTTGCAAATTACAAAGTTGATCTTTAAAAAAAAATATAAAGGCAAAATAGTAACAATAATGAAATTACTTTAACATACAATATACAAAAATAAGTGTCACAAAATTACAAATTATTGAAGATTTCGTGGTATACCACGTTGGTTGTTGATGTAGTATTTGTACTTGAGTTGTTGGAGACAATATTTGATTTTATTTTACATCAAGATAAATTCTAATAATTTATAATTATTTTATCGATTTGGTTCATATAAAATATTCAATATTGGTCATATTTGGAATGATTTTGAATAATATTTGACTTTATTTTACATCATGGTGTTCGCAGATATTTTTAATTGCACTGTTGATGAAATGAGTTAATTGTTACATAAATACTGCAATTCCGTAATGAATTTTAAAATGATTTAGCATAATTGAAGTTATGAAATTTGATGAAATTAATTATTATAATATTAAATTTGGTAAATTGGATCCAATCTACAATGATAAGGTTATCTCATATTTGGAATGATTTTGCTTTTAAAAATGATATAAATTTATTTATCTCATATTTGTAATGATTTTTAATAAATATTTGATTTTATTTTACATCAAGATAAATTCAAATAATTTATAATTATTTTATCGATTTGGTTCATATAGAATATTCAATATTGGTCATATTTGAAATGATTTTGAATAATATTTGATTTTATTTTACATCGTGGTGTTCGCAGAAATTTATAATTGCACTGTTGATGAAATGAGTTAATTGTTACATAAATACTGCAACTCCGTTAAGAATTTTAAAATGATTTAGCATAATTGAAGTTATGAAATGTGATGAAATTAATTTATTTTTTTGAATGCTAATTAATTATTATAATATTAAATTTGATAAATTGGATCCAATCCGCAATGATAAGGTTATCTCATATTTGGAATGATTTTGCTTTTAAAATGATATAAATTTAGTTATCTCATATTTGGAATAATTTTCAATAAATATTTGATTTTATTTTACATCAAGATAAATTTAAATAATTTATAATTATTTTACCAATTTGGTTCATATAAAATATTCAATATTGGTCATATTTGGAATGATTTTGAATAATATTTTGATTTTGGATGAATAATATTTGATTTTATTTTACATTGTGTTGTTCGCAGAAATTTATAATTGCACTTTTGATGAAATGAGTTAATTGTTACATAAATACTACAAATTGCAAAGTGTTTTTATTTTTGTTATTTTGTGTTATTAATTGTTAACAACTCTACTGGTCAATATCTTGTGCATGGAGATAGTTTTCATTTTTATTTTATCATGTGTTTTCTTGATTTTCATATGTTAATTGTGTAGGGATGCATGCACAATTATATACGCAAGAAAATTGTCCTCATTTCATATATTCTTATAATCTGCAACCAGTCAATCATATTGTATGTGATATAGGTATATTGTATACTTTTGTTTATTATGTTCGATAGTGTTAGCTTTGTTCTACATAGCTAATTGATTTATAGCTTAAAATAAGATTGCTAATTGAACTAATTATCCATGTATAATAATTAATAAATCTTAGAATAAAGTATAATATATTAGAATAAAAAACTTTAATGCAACATTTAACAATAGAATAAAGGCACAAGTGTCAAATAGGCTCATCTACTATTGCGGAGTGCTCAATTTCCACCACGAACTAAATTAAGTGTCAAATAGATCCATCTACGAGTTAAATTTGTCCAATTAACTTTTTTTACTGGTTAATAACATGTTACCTATTTAATTATTAAAATAAATAAATAAAATAAAATAAAATAAAAATAAATAAATAATAATAATAAAAGAATACAGCCACCGGTTGTCCTCGCCGGACAGCTGGTGACTGCCATTTCAAAGACAGCCGTGGCTGTCCAGCTATCCTCGCCGGACAGCCACGGCTGTCTTTGAAATGGCAGTGACTGTCTGGCGAGGACAGTCAGACAGCCACGGCTGTCTTTGAAATGGCAGCCACCGACTATCTGGTGAGGATAGCCGGTGGCTGTATTCTTTTTTTTTTTTTTAATAATAATTCTAAAATTATTTTGAAATTATTTTTTTAATAATTGATTTGGTAACCTGCAAAAAGTCAATTACCTAAAAAAAAAAAAAAAAGCTAATTGAACAAATTTAATAGGTAAGTGTAGTTAATTAGCCTTTAATTTAGTTCATGGTGAGAATTGAGCACTTGACAATAGTACATGTGTCTATTTGACACTTCTCCCTAGAATAAATCATTGTGAATAAAATACAAATCTAAACCCAAACATTGTTCAAGAACATTATTCAACATTATTCAAGAACATCAACAAAAAATCTCCAAATACTTAACAAAAAAAAAAAAATACAACTTTAAAATTTCTCATAAAAAATTCATAAATAATCCACCAATTAAACTCAAAACTTATGCAATTTCAAGATTTCTCTAACTTCACAATGGATTTGGCCTTCTTCCCCACATTTAATAAAAATGAATCATCGAGTCTACGCTTAACGCTGTGATTGGAATATCCAAATTCAATTATTTCAATTTCAGCATCTTATTGGGGTTGTTCTTTTACTGGTGTGGTGACCTCACCCCCAAAAGATAATTCCTTTAAAAAAAAACAAAAAAATGTACATAATTCTTTATTGACTAATATTTATGAAGTTAGAAGAATAAATATAAAATAGTTTATTAAATTACAAAAAGAAATTACCTCAACACTGTTAACTTGTCCAAGTTGTGATGTGGAAAATGCATCTGAATCATATAGAATAAAAGTACATATATTATTTACTTTTTATTATTTAAAAGTAATAAACTATAAACTATTAGCATTCAAAAAAAAAACTATAAACTATTAAATTATGTATATGTGTACCCTGATATATTAATTAATTACAAATTGTGAATGATTATTAAAAACAAAAAAAAAAACAAATACACCAATGATCATATAGTCTTTTTTTTTTTTTTAATGTAATAGTGCATCAAAAAAAATATAGATTTTAATAATTTTTTCCAAAAAATGTGGCAATATGTTTATTTTCATACTGTTTGATGGAAAAGTATAAAAAAAAATTAAAGAATTAATATATGTCTTTTAAGGTTAGCTTTCGATTTTACATAATTAAGATATTATTATGCCAAAAGAATACCAAATGTAAATAACAACATATACCTCCACATCTTCAAGCACAGATTCTAAGGTTGCTCTGTAGTTATTTTTTACTTCGTAGAGACGAATCAATCGTACTTTTGTTGCCCACGCAGCACTATAGGCGTTTATTTTATTCAATAAAACAAAAGTAGAAGCCATTATATTATATGTAGATTATTTTATATGGAGAATATGTATCTGAACCAGTGAGATACAATGAAATATATGAAATTGGTAGTGGTAATATGTTTCTTGAAATGCTTGATTTATATAGTGGTAGTGGTAGCTTAATTGAAGTTAGGAAATTTGATGAAATTAATTATTATAATATTATATTTGGTAAATTGACAATGATTTTTGTATAATTGATTTAACATTTTTGTAATTATGTATAGAGTAAATACCACCTATGGTCCCTCGAGTTTAGTGGCATCGCCATCAATGGTCCCTAACTTCCGTAATTACCATCCGTCATCCTCCGAGTTGTCAAAAGTTACCTTCTAGCGTCCTTCCGTTACTTTCTCCCGTCTCAGCCGTCAAAATGGAGGATAATATTATCATTTGACTTATACAAAAAGGGTTAATACCAGCCAAGGTCCCTCAAGTTTGGTGGTTTGACCATCTTTAGTCCCAAGTTTCCATATTCCATTATTTTCCTTCTTTCATATTCTCTTCTTCAAATGTATTATTATTACTATTATTTATAGTTATTATTAAATTCTTATTATTATTACTA